ATGCACGGAGGGGTATGGCCTCACCTGGCCTCGTCCGGTAAAGAGCCAGAATCAGGGGCATGAACAGAACGTGCTGCGGGCCTGGGTCTCTCCTAGCGAGGGTCCTGCGGTTGCCTCAAATTCTCCCAGTGATTTCTGGGCTGCAGAAACCAGTCAGGCTGAGCTCAGGCAGAAGTGTGGTGACACTGGGCTGCCCTTATCCCCCTCAGCTCACTCCATCAAAGATCATCCCCCCATGGAGGGCGCGGAACCAGCTCCCGCCTGGCTTAAGCGGCGGCGCTCACCGAGGCTGGCCTGACCCATTGCCTGGCCTCTTTTCCCTCTTTTCCAGGTTTGACGCCGTCCCCATCTCCCTATGCACAAGTGCTGCTTACTGCATCGTGGAGACAACTGTGCACTGGACTCAGAGGTGAATTTCAGGGGCCAGCGTTCAGAGACCGCCATGTCCCAGCCCGCCTCCTGCCGCCAGCTTCCTGCTAATGCGGACCCTAGCGGGTAGCCAGTGAGGGCGCAAGGAGCTGGGTTCCTGCCGCTCGCACGGGACACCTGGTTTGATTTCCCAGCTCTGGTTTCTGCCTGGCCCAGTCCCAGCTCTTGTAAGCATTTGGGGAATGAACCGACAGAAATAAAAGAAAAAAAGAAGTGGATTTCATACATAGTCATTATAAGGTAAACAATGAGTGTGAATTGAACTAGAAACCGTAACATAATTATATGAGAAGGAAGTGCAGAGGAAGTGAATGTACATGGTGGTCAGAGCACGAACCCAGCTTTCGTCACGGCGTGTAAAACTGATAAACAGGCCGGTGCCGCGGCGGCCATTGGAGGGTGGACCAATGGCAAAGGAAGACCTTTCTCTCTGTCTCTCTCTCTCTCACTGTCCACTCTGCCTGTCAAATAAATAAATAAATAAAAATAAATTTAAAAAAAAAACTCTAAAAAAAACCCTGATAAACAAGCTATGTCCATAGCAGCAGAAGCCTTGTGTTTACTATATAGGAATGTAAACACCAGAAAAAAAGAAAAACAGCTGGAAGAGTTTGGGATGAGGGACAGGTTGGGGAAGAATAGAGCAAAGAACCATTTTTTGTTGCTATAAGCACTATATACATTTTAAGGTCCACACACATATGTATGTTAAATGTAAAAACAAAAACTTTTTTGAAGTTAATTTTTTTTCACTTTATTTGTAGGGCAAAGAAACGGAGATGAAAGATCTTCCAGCTACTGTTTCACTCCCTAAATGCTGGGCCAGGCAGAAGCAAGGAGTCAGAACTCCATCCTGGCCTCCCACCTGTGTTGCAGGTTCCCAAGCACTTGAGCCATCACCTGTTGTTGCCTTCCAGGGCGCGCATTAGCAGCAAGCTGGGTCAGGAGCAGAATAACCAGGACTTGGATTGGGCACTAATTATTTGGAAGGCAGAGTGACAGAGAGAGAACGACAGAGACACAGAGAGCTCTCCCATCCCTGGTTCACCCCCCCCCCCAATACCCACAACAGCCAGGGCTGAGCCAGGCCCCAGCCAGGAGCCTGGAGATCCCTCTGGATATCTCACCCGAGCGTCAGGAACCCGAGTACTCGAGCCATCCTCTCTGCTTCCCAGGGTGAGTATTAGCAGCGAGCCGGATCAGCTGAGAAGGTGGGATTCCAGTGTGAGATGTGGCATTCCACGCAGCCGACGGAGCCAAGAGACCTGCTCCAAGTCCTGTTTAAGCGGTCATCCGGGACATACCCTACTCCTGTTGGGTGGGGGAGTGAAGTAGGCCGTCAAGGATTGGGGTGCCCGAGGCCTGCTGTCTACGGGGCGTTGGGGCGAACGGTCCTGTTGGGGAGGGGACCTGCGAGTGGGAGGCAGCACCCTTCCTCCTGGTCCCCAGCTCAGTTGCCAGGGCTCAGGCTTCTCTGGTTCTCGAGCTCCACCCCGTGGCCGCAGGGCCGGCTGCACCCGAGCGCTCCAGGCTGGGTGCCTGGGGCTCTGCTCCAGTACTCCAGAAGCTGCCGTCTGCGCCCGCTGGCCGGGTGTGGGTGCCCCCACGCCGTGTCCGCCCCTGCCACCCCGTGTCGGTCCCAGAGTGCTCGCTGAAGTCTTACTTGGGGCAGATGCCCTTTCCTGCCCCTCAGCCTCCATCTTTGCCAGCCTGGGGCTTCCTGGACTTCCAGAAATTTCCTGAGTCTCAGGTGGATAAGGAGTGAACCAGCAGATAGATTCCTCTGTGTCTCTCCGTCACTATGCCTTTCAGAGACAGAAATAAATAAGTAAACTATAAAATAGAAAAAGCAGGAAGGAGGGGAGCGAGACTTTTAAAGTTATAAAAAGCAAACTTCAAATCTATTCTGTGCTGCAGTACTGACAAATAGAACTGTGTTATGACCTGAAAGGCTTGGTTTAAGTTTCCAGTTCCCAGACTCCTCAGCGTTCCTGGGCAGTGCGGGTGGACAGGGCCCCAGGCCAGTGCTGCCCTGGATTTGCCACTGCCCTGCCGTGCAGCGTAAGCAGGTGCAGCTGCCCTGGAGGAGGTATGCCTGGGAAAGATGCCTGCACATGGCGTTAGGGGCCCAGGACCAGGGCGTGGTCTATGAGGGGGTCGGATGGACACACTGCCACAACCCTCAGCGTCCTCACCCAGAGAGGAAGGCAGAACAGGACCATAAGGCACAGGGCCCCAGGCGGGCACCTCTTGTCTGGCTCTGAGGGCGGCAGTCTTCCCATCGCCCACTCTCCCTGCCTTTCTCTTTGGAAGCCCCGAGCTGGGGGACAGGCCTACACGCAGGGATTCCAGCAGGGTATGTGATGGGCTCAGGGGCTACAGCAGCAGATGGGGTGTTCAAGGAAATGGGCAAAGCCCTCCCGTGAGGAGACTTGCGGGGGGTGGGGATCCTGCATCAGCCGTCTTGGGGGCCTGCTCCATGGCTGTGAGGGGACACCCTCCTGCAAACCGTCTGGGCGGCTTCCTGGACTGCTAGGGACACCTGGTTCTCCCTGACTCATGAGCATCCTCTGACAGTGGTGCAGCGCCCGGCCACCTGCAGGGCTGTGGGCGGTAAACGGCGCCTTCCCCTGCCGCTCCTCCCAGCTGAGCAGGACCCGCCACCGCCACGTGCTTGGGAGACTGGCACTGGGAGCCCACGGTGCTGCCGCCACCTCCCAGGTGGGGCTCAGGTTAGGGCTCAACAGTGCTTTCTAGAGCCCAGGCGCCCTCTTGAGGATGCTTGGAGAATCTCAGCACCTTGTCCCTGAGGCCAACAGCCCGGCTGACCTCCATGGTCGCACCTGCTCGCTGCCCCTTCCAGTCTTTTTCTCCACCCACACCTCTCCTGGAGCCCAACCCACCCCCTGCCAACCTAGGGCAGAGCCTCCATTTTGAAGCCCTCTCAACAAGGCCCAGACTGCCCAGGGCCCTGGCATCACAGGACATAATGCCAGAGGTTTAGACTCTGCATTTTTATCTAGCTCCCTGCTAATGGGCCTGGGAAGCAGCAGGTGATGGCCAGAGTACTTGGGCCCCTACAACCCAGTGGGAGATCCTAATGGAGTTCCTGGCCCCTGGCTTCAGCCTGACTCCACCCCAGCTGTTGAAGGCATTTGGGGAGTGAAACAGCAGATGGAAGATCTCTGTCTCTCCCTCTGTCATTCTGCCTTTCAGATAAAATAAATGTCTTTTAAGTTTGTAGAAAATGGGGGGCCAGCACTGTGGTGCAGCGGGTAAAGCCACCACCTGTAGTGCCGTCATCCCATATGGGCGCCGGGGCAAGTCCCAGCTGCTCCACTTCCGTTCCAGCTCTCTGCTGTGGCCTGGGAAAGCAGTAGAAGATGGCCCAAGTGCTTGGGCCCTGCCCCCCGTGTGGGAGACTGGGAAGAAGCTCCTGGCACTTGGCTTTGGATCAGTGCAGCTCCGGCTGTTGCGGCCAACTGGGAAGTGAACCAGTAGATGGAGGACCTTTTTCTCTCTCTCTCTCTCTGTCGCTTCTTCCTCTCTATGTAACTCTGACTTTCAAATAAATAAATAAATCTTTAAAAAAAGGAAAATGGGATTCAAAGATAAGTTCATTTTGGTGCAAAAATTTGAAACCCATGCAGTTTTGTATAGCAGGCATTTTCCTCATATGCATGAATTTTAAAATGTTTTGCTCCAAAATAACCTTACCTTTGGCGCTGTGGGTTACACTGCTGCCTGCAGCGCTGTCTGCATCCTATATGGGTGCTTGCTCAAGTCCCAGCTGCTCTACTTCCAATCCAGCTCCCTGCCAATGCACCTGGGAAAGCAGAAGCTGGCCCAAGTCCCTGGGCCCCTGCCACCCATGTGGGAGACCCAGAAGCAGCTCCTGGGCCCTGGCTTTGGCCTGGCTCAGCCCCAGCCATTGCGGGCACTTGGGGAGTGAACCAGCACGTGCAGGATCTCTGTATCTCTCCTTCTCTCTCTGTAACTTTCAAATATATAACTTTGTAAAAATTATCTTTTGATTCTATTTTCCACAAACTTATTGCAGCAGCCTCGGGCTGGGTGGTTTAAAATCAGACATTGATTCTCTCACAGCTGAGGCCAGAGGGCTGAATGAAGAGAATGAAGATATCGGCAGAGTTGGTTCCTGCTGGGAGGCCCAGAAGGGAGTCTGTCTGTCTCTGTCAGCCTCGTCCATGCCTCTTCCTGGCTTCTGACGGTTTCCAACAAAACCCTCGGCGCTCCTGGCTTGTGGATGCATCACTTGAGTCTCTGCCTCCCCCTGCACGTGGCCTGCTGCCCCGTGTCTCTTGCACACGGTCACCTTCCCTCTGTGCATGTCTGGGCGCCCACATTTTGCTCTTCTTACAAGGACATCAGTCACCACGCACCATGACCTCACTTGAACTTGACTCAATTCGCAAAGACCCCATTTCTGAGCAAAGTCACATTGACAGGAGCCAGGAACACGTCTCCTCGCGGGACAGCATTCAACCCAGGACGGTGGCCAAGGGCCTTCCCCGACGAGCACACGCCTTTTCCAGTGAATGGTCACAGGCCAAAGTCTGGGAGTCTTTATTGGGGCTTGGAATGTCATAGCAGTTCCCCTGCGCCAGAGGGCAGCCTCCAGGAGAGGAGCAGCAGCTGTGGCCGGCGCCCAGCGCAGGGCTGTCCTGGCTCGGTTAAGGGATCCTGCTCGCCGGCAAGCAGGATGCAGGCACACACGCATGCGCACACGCTCTCCTACACGGACGTCCACACTCACACCTGTTCACTCGCTCCCGGTGGGTCTGAGGCCAGGCGCCTCGTCTGCTCCCTGCCTCTCGGAGGGGCATCGTGCATGGGGGATCTGCTGACTGAGACGGAAGGGAATCGCTTGCGGGTCAGGGCGCAGGGGCGGGCAGCTGCAGGCGCTGTGCAGTTTGGGGCAAGGGGATGCAGGGGGACAGAGGACTGGCCAGGGAGCAGCCATAGGGAGCGGGAGAAAGTCCTGCTGGGCCAGGGCGAGGGGAACCGGTGCTGGAGAGCAGCGGGGCTGGGCGGAGCAGGAGAAGAGGCCATGCCTGCTCCCTCGCTCACTTGAACCTCTCAGAACCCTGGGCATAGAATGCCTGGGGAGCATCAGGGGGTCCCCTGTGTCCTAAGAAGGCACTGAAGTGGGGAGCAGCCCCTGGGAGCCTGGGGTCTCCCCCGAGCACCCACGGGGGACAGGGAGGGGATGATGGAGCTTACATGCCGGCTGTTGGGGCAACGAGACTGGGGAAGCCTGGATGCTGCTTCTCACCCAACCACTGGGTGGCGAGGAGCTGAGATGCCGGCCGACCCTCTAGCCAGCAGAGGGGGGCCGCCGCCAGCAATGCCCCTTTAATTGAAGGGCAGTGAGGGAGGAGCCCAGCCCCACCCATGTGTCTGTGGCAGGGCTGGGGGCAGGAGGAGTGAGGCCCCCGGGTCCCCCTGCCCCCAGGGCCAGGGCTACCAGAGCACGGCCCCATCCAGGTTCCCATAGCCGGGCTCGGCCCGCAGCCTCCAGTAGGTGTTGTTGGTCACCCACCACTCCTTGCCGCTGCTGTCCGTCTGCCGCCTGTGTGGGGGGGGGGGCAGCAGGAAGGGGCATCAGATTGAAGCCTGGGCCCACTCCGCCAAGGTGGGGCGGGGGCGCGGCCGGCACCTGAAGAAGCGAGCCTGGTGGGCGATGTGGTTCTCCTCCATCACTCTGCGCCGGTCCCGCTGCAGCTGCTCAATCCTTCTCTTCTGGGCCTCGGCGGCCTGCACGTTCCCCTCCTCCAGGTACCTGGGGTGTGGATGCGGTCAGCGGGACTGGCCCGCAGGCGCTCCCAAATCCCAGGCCTCCGGGCCCCAGATTTGCGCGGCGCGGGGGCGGGGCGCACGGCCAGGCACTGACCTCTGGTCGGGCCGCAGCCGCGTGTCGGTGGAAGGCAGCGTCCGCTTCAGCTCCGCAGTCAGCTCATTCAGCTCCAAGGCAAACTGAGTGAAGCCGAAGTTTCGCTCATGGTTTGGGGGCATTGAGTCTGGGGGGAGGCAAGGGGCTGGGGCAGGTGGACTGTCCACGGCTGCCCTCAGCCCCGCCCAGCCCTCCCGACCGCCCCACTTACTGGGTTTCCAGATGCACTGACCGCCTGGCGGGGGTCCCCGGTACAGCCCCTCGTGCCACTTCCCGAAGAGCCGGTGGAGCACACGGCCGCTCCGGCTGAACACGGCGCCCTGCACTTCGTGCACGTTGGAGCTCCAGTACTTGGCCTGCAGTGGGCAAGGCGGGGGCTCAGGGAGGGGCCCCTGGCCCTTACCCAGGGAGGCCCGCTGGGGCAGAGGCTGCTGGGGGCGGGGCGGGCCGGGGCTGCCACCTTGCAGAAGGTGATCTTGCAGTGGCAGGAGCTGTCCTTTGTGTTCCGGATGAGCACCTCCCCGTAGTGCTCGATCCAGCGCTGGCCACTCAGGATGTTGTGGATGCAGGATGTCACCTTGTTCCACTCGAAGTGGTCCCCAAACCTGCAGGAGAGGGCACGGGAGGGAAGCGGCCGGCCCCGGGGAACAGGTGAGTAGGGGGCGCCTGGGGGAAGGCGCCGGGGTCCTGGGTTCTGCTCTGCAGTGCAGGAGGACTTGCACTTAGCAAGCAGAGCCACTTGCATGGAGGCAGGCAGTGAACGCGCTTTCACGTTCAAGCCCCTGAGCCTTGGAAAAACACAGACAGGGCACCTGCCCTGGGCTACAGGGGCACAGCAGGGGCGGTAGCACTGCCACCCCCAGGGGGACCTGTTCCTCTCATTTGATTCGTGGGCAGGCCAGGCTCTGAGGCAACCCAGCCTTCTGCTACTGGCAGAACCCAGACTCCCACCCAGGACTTCCGGCTCCGAGACCCGTGGCAGACTCCTGGACCAATCAGAACAAGGCCTTTCCCCTCTGGCTTCAGCCTCCACCTGTAAACTGACCTTAGGGAGGGTTTTTCTAATGTGGGTTGTGACCCAGGCATCCTGAAATCAGTTTAGGTTTCTCTGCCCGTGCATGTGTGTGTGTTGCATTGCATGCACATGTATGTACACATGTGTGCACCACCTCAAAGCTTCAAAGGCACTCCTAGCGTGAGTCAGAGCCAAAAAAGTGTCAAAGCCGCTGAGTCAGATGACCTTGATGGGCCCTTCCTGCTTTACTGTTCTAGACTTTTCACCTTTTTGTGTTGCCGACTGCCGTAAATACAGATGGAAAGCGTAGTCATCACTCCCCTCCCCTGCTGCGAGCAGTTCCAGGCCAGGCCTCTCTCACCCATCCCCAGCACTTGTCCCCTGACGGCGGGGCTAGGCCTGTCTGCCGGGGGCTCAGGGTGCTCACCTGGGCAAGCTGACATTGACCATCCCCACTGGCACGATCTCCAGGGATTTGCCCCAGAACTTGTTCTTCCACTTCATGTCTGCAGTTGGGTTGAGGAGGGAGAGGCATCCCGGAGATAAGGCCAGAGAATGTCCCAGCCCCTCCCCAGCTGCCTTTTACCCTGGACCCAGCCTGCCTTGCGCCGCCGCTCCCCACCTTGCCAGAAGATGAAGTTCTCGGACTCCGCATGGCACGCCGAGATCGGGGGATGGTGGGAGACCTTGATGAGCAAAGACATCCTCTTGGGGCTGTCCCAAAGTCCTTTACCCACCCCCACCCCGTTCCCCTGCAAACCATCAGATCAGTTAGTTCCAGGTCTCATCCCTGTCATCCCTGGCCACCACACAAAGCCACCAACCCCTCTTCTCCCCAGAGGGTCCCTCTATTCTCCCCTCTGGAGCCGCCCTGGCCGACCCTGCTGGTTTCTGCAAACAGTGGTGGGCGGGGCCTCCATGCCATGCCCTGCCTGAAACCCAGCTCCCCCAGGGGACCCTCTCCCCTAACCATTTCCTCCCTGCAAAGCCGATCACACACACACACACACACACACACACACACACACACCGCAGTGTCCACACCAGCCCCTGGGAGATGCCTGGCCTTGTCCTGAGAACAGCTCCACCTCTGGAACCTGAAACCATGATGCCCCACAGCCTGCCTTCCTGGCTGCAGCCCAGCCCTCCAGGCCCCCGACTGCCCTACTTTCTCCTGGTCTGTCCGCCCCACCCTGGTTTCCCTTCCTTCCTGCCTATCACCTCCACCATCACACCTCATACCCTCAGTGACCTCCTCCACCGCCTGCCAGAAACGCCAGCACTGGTCTCCTGCGTGCACCCCCGACACACACCAGCCTGCCGAATCCCCCCCAGAAAGAGGGTCCCTGCACCTGACTCTCCCTCTGCGCCCACTCCCCTGTCCTCTACTCGAGGGAAAAGCCTGCCAACAACTGGGGCCTGACACCGGCAGCATGCGGGGCCCAGCCCAGGTGCTGGGCCCACCCCAGGTGCAGGCCCCACCCAGAGAGGTCTCAGCAGGGCACCCACTGACCCCCTGCAGCGGCAGCCCCAATGCTCCCACAAAGGGCAGTTCCCAGCCCATCACTGCCTTCTTCAGTCCTCCTCACCGCCCCTTGCCTTCAGGATTTAAAACTAATCAGAAACCCCGAACCTCCTATCTTGACCTCTTTCTTGCCCGTGCTTCCAGCCTCCTCTTTGCCTACCCCTAACCTGCTCGGCTCCTTGACACTGGACACCCCACCCTCTCAGCGCAGGACCTGGCTCAAGGTCGCCCCCTAGAGTCCACCCCCAGATGGAGCTTCTCTCCTCTGACCTCAGAGCCCTGGACAGGAACTCCCCGTGACCTCCCCCGGGGGAGCTGGGAGCTCCCTCCAGCACAGCCGCTGACACCCCCAGCATGTGCCCCGGGGCCTGGCCCGAAGATGACTGTCCCTGCTCCTCTGACCCCTGGCTCCTCTGACCCCAGCCTCTGTCTGTGCCCAGCAACCCGAGGCCAGTTCTCGTCTCCCGGCACCCACACCTGCTCACTAATGAAGCGGAAGCCACGGTCGGGCCGCTCACACTCGTAGGTCTCCCCGAGGACCGGGTTGAAGGGCTTGCAGCCCGCGCGGTGGTACGTGGAGGAATAGGCCGAGACCGCAAATGCGGCGATGTACACCTGCGGGGCGGGGTCGGGGGGAAGCGCTGGGCTGAGGGGGGGCGGGGCGCCAAGTCCCGGCCCTGGGGGCGGAGCTTCAGCGAGCAGGGGCCCTGGGGCGGGCAGGGGCCAGTACCATGCGCTCGCAGGGGTCCGCGATGCGGCTGGCCTGGTCCAGGAGGCTGCTGTACTCGAGTTCCTCGCAGAGCCGCTGCAGAGTGTTGAGCGGCTCGTTGAGCTGCACCGGCATGGACACCTTGGACAGGTCTTTGCCGATGTTGTTGCGAAGAATGTTCCACAAGCTGACGTCGGCACCTGGGCCGCTGGCCGCGGGCAGGCAGCGGCGGCGTGGGGGCCCGGCAGGTCTCCCTGGAACACAGCCCCCTGGGCCAGTCCCAGCCACATCACTCTCCCCGAGGACACTGGCGTCCCGGCCACGGCAGGCCACAGGCTGGTCCACAGGGCACTCACTTGTAGAAATGCTGCCTGACGGGGGGGTGGGGGGGGTGGGGGGGGATCTAACTCTGGACCAGCTCTCTGGGGATTTTGGTGGCCACAGGGCTAAGAACCACCCAGGGGGGGACAGGTGCCACTGCTGGACAGCCTGTGCCCTGGGAGCCTTCCCAAGGCCCCACTTTGGCCTTCTATCCCCTTTAGAAACATAGAAACAGGTGTCAGGATGCAAATCATTCAGCCCGTTTTATAGATAGGGAAGTGGCTCCAAGAAGAAATGACAGGTGCAAAGCCACAGTACTAAAAACAAGGGAGAACCTTTCATTTCTCGGTCAGCCCTATCTGAGCCTTCCCAGCCTGTGGACAGAAGCCAGAGCCAGGTCTGAGCCCGGCCCAGGCCCCAGGGCTGCTCCTGGAACATTCCCAAGCTCATGGCCCAAAGCTGTTCACACCAGTTTCCACAAGGGGCTGCCTCTGCATGGGGCCTGGGCCAGGGGCAAGGCCTGTGTCTGCCACACGCGCGCACACACACACACACACACACACCCGCCCCCCCGGCCCACACGCCTGGCTGGCACCTTGCTGACAGTGCTCAGCTCCCCTGAGATCCAGCACCTCCTCGGACAGGCTAGTGGTGACTTCGCTGGTGCACGACTCCTCCTCTTCTGAGCCCTGGGACGGGACAGAGGACAGGCTGGGCAGTCTGGGCCTCCCTGGGGAGCTGGGCAGTACCCAGGGCCTGGCAAGAATCTGCCCGAGAGAGACAGGCACTTGCAGGGGAGGGGATGCCCGGGAGGGGCGTGGGGGCTGCTAAGAACTGGAGTCGGAGGCAAGGTTCCTGGGCAGGTGATGGGAGCTGGGACGGGGGCAGCGGTTCCAGGAGACGCTAACAGCGACAACGGGGAGAGCGGCCGCATAGACTCGGCACATTCCCAGAGAGAGTGGCCCGGGGGTGGGAAAGGGAGCTGGGGACTGCAGGTTTGGGTCTCTCCAGCCCCCACCCCTGCCTTCCCAGGTCACTCCGCCCTTGCTGTCAGATTCCCTCTCCCTCACCTCATTCTCGGAAGAGCTGGCGGACAGCAGGACCTCGCAGGCATCAAAGAACTCCGTGTGGGAATCGGCCAGGGACAGGACGCTGCTCTGCGACAGCTGGGGCGTCAGCTCTCGCCCCTTCATGTACAGAGCCTCTTGCTGCGGGACCAGGATGGGGGTCAGGGATGCGGGACGCCCCCCACCTGAAAGCTCCCTTAACTGGAGGCTGCCTGAGTCAGGGAGGGGCGGAGGGGAGCCGGGGAGGCGGGAAGGGGCATGGGAGGACCTGCAGCCTGGGAGGAAGTGGCAGGGCCCTGCCATAACTGCTTATACTTCCGGGGCACAGACTGGCCCCCCTCAGGGCCCTCTCCCTGTGTTAACCCACCCCATCCTGACACGCCCCCTGGGAGGCCAGAGCAGACTGGGACTCGAGAGTTGACCTGTCCTGGAGTCAGATTCACCCCCAGTGGGTGCTGCCACCCCTAAGGTCCAGGTCAGCCAGACCATAACGGCGGAGGACCTGAGCCCACCAATCACGGTTCAGTTTTGTCGCTGCTCTTTGCACTCTGAATTAGACATCCAAGCACCAGGACAGTCAAGCAGAAGCTGCCACCGATGTGGGGAGAAAGACGGTGGAGCCAGGATCCTGGGCTCTGTTCCTACCCAGAATCCACCTCTGCCCCCTACCCTGGCCCTGCTGGGAAAGAAGGCGCAGGAAGGAGGCCCTCGGGTGCCCGGCTCCTCACCTCCTCGGGGTTGAGGGAACTGAAGGAGTCGGCCGTGGTGTCCGAGGAGATGGATAGTGAGTGGAGGCGCCTCTGGCCGGCAGGGGCCTCGGAGATCTGGGCAGACGGGGAGGGGGGAGTCACTGCCACCCTGCCGCCCTCATCTCCACAGAGCCAGCCCCGCCCCCCCCAGCTGCCCTGTCCCCCAAGCCTCACCCCTGTCCTGGACAGCTCTGAGCCCGGGTGCAGGTCCCTGAGTCGGTCACGTTCAGCAGTGAGGGCGGCCAGGACACTGCTGAGGGAGTTGTGCACTGCGGGGGCGGGGCAGGCCATCAGCCCCCTCGGCCCTCGCGCCTACTCCTTGTGCCCCCACCCCCGCCAGCTCACACTCACCCTTCTGTGCCAGGGCCCAGAAACTGCGCTGCAGGTGGGCGTAGTCTTGGGGGGGCAGCCCCCGGGGGCCTGAGGAGTCCCGAGACTCCAGGTAGCGAGACAGGTTGGGGACGGAACCGTGCAGACGACCAACCTGGGGGAGGGGGGGCAGCGGAGGGTTAGAAGGTCACCCACATGCAGAGCACCAGGTCCCGCACCTGGGCGTCCACGCCCCACCTCACCCGCCCGATGCTGTCGTCCTTGGCGAAGCTCTGTGTGCACCACATGCGGCTGCTCCGCTTCCCCTTCTTGGGTCTCTCAGTGGTCACTGAAGCCTGGCAGGTGGGGGTAGGAGGAGCTCACTGGCAGGGTGAGGGAAGGGGCAGGAGAGGCGGGCAGCCCCGGGGAGAGGGCGCAGAGCCATGGGCATGGGGGAGTCATGGAGACATAGCCTTGGATTGGGACAGGGGGGTGGGGGACGAGACAGCGACAGATGCTGGGCTCTCTGGAAACTACAGGGACACAGAGAGGAACGGGGTGGGGGGAAGCTGTCCCCGCGAAGCAACAGGGGTGTAGGGCCCTGGCAGGCCGCCACCTCCTTCCCCAGCCCTTACCTGGTGTGTGGGGATCACAGGGGCTGAGGGGATGCGGTGCAGGGACTCCAGGCTCTGGAGGAGTCTGTGCAGCTCCTGCAGCTTCCCCTGACACTCAGAGAGCTCTGAGGGGCAGAGGGAAGAGAACAGGGATGTCGCTCCCCCAATGCTGGCCAGGGTCCCCCCAAGGTCTGTCCCTTGTCTTCCTTCCACAGACATCACTGACAGCCGTGGCCACCCTGACTCTGCTCCCCTTTCCCTGCTCAGGGGCCCAAAGCACTTCCAGCCCCCACCCCCCCACACCCCCAGTGTGGCTTCCCTCTGCCAGGCCTGCAACCCAGTCTCCACTCTGTCTCCAGATACAGCTCACCTGTGCTGCCTGCTCCCAGGCTGGGGCTGCCCTTCCCCTCCCACTCCCCTGGCTTGCACCTCCCTTCTCAGCCCCTCTGCAGGAAGCCAGCCCTACAGTGCATCCTTCCCTGGCACTGCTCCTCGGCTTTGGCCACCAGCGTCATCTCCGTCCGTGTCTACGTGCCTAGGACATGAGCCCCACCATCCTCCATAGGACCAGGCTTTCCAGGGCAAGGCCCAAGTGGACCCGATCACCTTGGAGGCAGAGACTGTCACCCCAGATTCTCTCTGCTGCTGCTGCTGCTGCTGCCACCTAGACCCAACAGTGGGACCCTCCCGACAGAGAATCTGTGCTCAGGGCCCCTCACCATGAGAGCAGCGATCCAGCCCATCACTGTCCCTCAGCCAGGAAGACACCTTCTCCCGAGGCCCAACCCCAGGCAGGGCGGCGGCACTGCCTGCTGTTGGAAGCTGAGTGCCGGGAACCTGCAGGGGGAGTCCAAGCGGCAGGAAGGTGGGCACCTACACAGCTGTCACAGGGGTCCCATCCCCTGCCCCTACCCCAGGGCCCACCTTACCTTCCGGTGAGCAGTGCTGGGCAGGCCTCGGGGCGTGTCCAGGCGCTGGGCCAGGCGGTGGGCACGCAGCTGGGTCACCCAGCTCTGGAACAGGTCCTGGGATTTGATCTGCAGAAGCCATGTAGGAAGGGGCTATCTGAAAGGAGAGTCTGGCTTCCAGGAGCAGGAAGTCAGAGCTGGGTCCACAGACAAGCAAGGTCTCCCTGGAGAGTGCCTGGTTGGGGCAAAGCCATCTTGTGGGTGTGTCTGAGCCCTTAGCACTGTGCTTGTTCACGAAACAACCAACAGGGATGGGTTTGGCCTTGGCTGTGTCACACGAGAGGAACTTTGTCCTTGTCAACCGCAAGGACAGATCCTGAGCTCCACACTGCCTCAGCCCCTGTCCCTGTGTGCCCCAGAACCTCTGCCCAACTGGAGACTGAAACGCTCCTTGGCTGCCAGGGAGGTCACCTTGAGGTGGTAGATGTTGTCTTCAGTGTCAAGGTCAATGCGCTGGGCCTTCTTGTTGATGGACATGACCGACAGCCGGACATCGATGGAGCCATGGAGCTTCCCCTTGGTGATCTGGGGTGGAGGTGGGGAATAAGGGACTGGTTTTAGGCTCCCAGGGCCACAGAGACACCATCTCCCTGCAACCACTCCAGGCTCCAGGGCTGGGCAACAGGCCCCCTGTCATGTCCAATCACACTGTCAGTTCTGACTTGTCAGTTACCTCCTTTGGACAGAGCACTCCACTGTGTCCAGGCTCGTTCTGAACTCCGGGGAGTCATACAGCCAGGCCCAGTGCTCTCACCTTCAGGAATCTGAGGGTGTCCAGGCCTTCGGCTCCTTCCCAGCATGAGCATGGGACAGGGACAGGTGACAGTAAGGCCTCAGGTCCGAGGTGCTTCTTTCGCACCGGGTACCATCATGCACATCGCCTCCCGTGCACCACAACAGCCTGCACCTGGGTGGTCCTTCTCTCCCCATCTTACAGATGAGGAACCAAGGCCGATGGAGGTAGAGTCACCGCCCCAGTATCCTGGGGGTTGGTTCCAGGATCCCCTGTGGCTACCCAAATCCACGGACACAGTCCCCTGTGTAAGCTCATGCAGAATCTGAGCGTGACCTCCCCGGATCCTCTGCCCGCTTTACTCTACGTTACCGACACTACCTAACACAATGGAAGCGCCATGTACACAGCTGTGATGCTGTGTTGCTTAGGGAACATTGACAAGAAACAAGTATACGCATGTTCAGTAACAAACACAATTTTTTCCAATTATTTTCCATCCATGGTTGATTGCACCCAAGAACGTGGAACCTGCGGATGCTGAAGGCCGGCTGTGACTCGCCCTGGATCCCACACTCAGCAAACAGTGGCCCCCTGAGTTCAACCTCTCCCCAGTAGACCCAAGGCCCCCAGAGCCCATCTCCTCCCACAACCGCCAGCCCAGGCCCCACACTCACGTCTTGGCGGGTGGTCGCATAGTGAAGGATGCCGTCCTCAAGCACAAAGTATCTCTGAGAGGAACAGGAGCCGGAGAGGAGAGGGGATGGAGGAGAGAGCAGCGCCCACAGGCTTGCCTCCTTCCCTGCACCTGCAGTCTCCCCACACAGGGCCCTCCCCCGGCCCCACCCACCCTACCTTGTGCCAGCCCTTCAGAGGCCACTTCCTCTTCTTGAGCAGGTGGCCTTCCTGCCTCTCAGGCCGGACACCCTCTGCCCCCAGCCTGCTGCGGGGCTCCTCCAGCACCTCCCACAGCTCCGAGGCCTTGGAGAGAAGGGCCGGCTGGTGAGGCGCCATGCCCCACCCCCACCTCCCCCAGCCCAAGCCCTGCCACCCGTCACCCCTGCATCCCCTTCGGACCTGCTGGGCGCTGCTGGGCTTTGAGGACTGAGAGTTCTGGGCCAGGGACGGGGGGTCCCTCTCTTGGACGTCCATGGAGGAGGGAGAGGCCACTCCTGGCTAGCAAACAGAGCAGCTGGAAGGGGAAAGGCGTCACCTGCTCCCGAGGGGGACCTTGGAGCGAGAGAGAGCCCCCATTAGCACAGATCCTGCTCTTGTCTTCCCCACTTCCACTGCCTCTCAGATTCCAACTCACCAACCACCTCTGCTCACCAATCCTGCCTCTCCCGTTGGTCCCGACACCACCCTGGGCGGGTCCCCCTGCCCACACCCTGCCACTATGGCGGCGGCAGCGGCAGCTGACCGGTGCCCAGAGAAAGCCGACAGAAGAGTGCCCAGCCCCACCATGGGCACACCAGGGTGCTGGGAACACACAAGGCTTTCTTGGGCGGATTCCCTGGGGTGATCAGAGGTGAGGCAGGGGAGTGAAGGACACGGCTCTGAGGAAAGACAGGGACTCAGAGCTGGACAGGAGACATCTCACAAGCCAGCTGCCTCTGCCTTCAGCACCCTCCACCCCAAGCCCCTACCAACTGGCCTCCCCACTCTCTGTATGGGGAAACTAAGGGCCTGGAACAAGCTCCATCGCCCCACCTCCCTGCCTCCTCTTCCCAAACATGCCCCTAGGATTCCCACCTCCGGTGCCCCCCATGCCCCCAGAGCCTCGCTGCTCCAGGGCCTCCGAGAAGCACTGCCCACCCAGAGAGCAGCACCTGGGGACACAGGGCGGGAGGAGGGCTGCCCAGGTCCCGCAGCAGTGCCTACAGGCGCCCTTGGCACTGGCCCTGGCCATTCTGGCTCCACTGGGAGATCAATAATGCATGCAGCTGTGCGTGTGTAAGCCGGGGGAGGGGACTGGAGGGGCGAGGTTGGCCCGAGGCTGAGGAAGCAGCCCGGATCTCATGGAGCCAGCGAGCACCTGAGGAGCTGAGACTGGGAGGGGACAGGGACATGGCAGGGTAAGGTGGAGGGGAGATTAGGCACGGGGGCCCCACACTGCAAGAGCCTGAGCGGTGGGGGGGGGCAACTCCTGTATTCAGCCATTGAAAGTTCCCAAACTCCGCCCATGTGTGCCCTTGCCCTGGCCCCGTGGGATCCCCAGCCCCTCGCTGCTTGCCGGTGGAGGGGGAGGCTCCATCCGCGGGAAGGTGGGAGGTCCCGGGGAGCCAGGCGGGTGTCCCCTTTCCACCTCCCCTCCCGCCCTGGTCTCCGGAGCAGCAGATCCTGAGCTCCAGGTGGGAGGAGGCCCTCCCCGGGGGATGTCAGCCGATGCCACCGCGGCCCCTTACCCCAAGGTCCATGGACGCCAGTGCTCCTTGGCCCGCACAGCGCTCTGCCTCTGAGTCACTGGCTCCCTCCTCACGGAGCTGAGCAGTGGCAGCAGCTGCTGCAGGAACCAGGAAGGAAGGAGACGTTGGAGCCTCCCCTCTCGCCGGATCTCCCCACCTTCCCCTCCCTGTCCCCTCCTCCTGCCACGCTCCGGGCGGCGGCCGCTCAGCTCTGCCCCCCTGCTCCCCGGAGGACTCAGGGCCGAGCGGAGAAAGGAGCAGGGAGCAGGAGCTTAGTCCCCACTGGGCACGGTTCCAGATGGATCAGAGGACGGGGAAGTGCTGGCCTCAAGCCAGTGGTGGTAGAGGACTTGTTCAGATGGGCATGGCCTTGACCCCAGTGAGTACCCAAGGCCATTTCCTTATTAACCCTCGCCTCTCATTTCACATCTGAAAATAGACTGCAAAATTTGGAGCCAGCGAAGGTATCAGGTTGACGGGGAAGGGACACATCGGCCCTATGGGACACAAGACAGTCCAGTAGCATAGTCAGCAGAGGCAGCTGAGCCCCAAAGACAGCCACGCTGAGGCTGCTCACTGGGGACAATGCCCCCTCCCACCAGGCCAGGCCCCCACGCGGGCAGGATAAAACCCCAGAGGAGCCAGCCTGGGCATCACCAGCTAGCTGGCCATCAAGAAGGGCCAGGCTGAGCCAGTGTCCCTCTCGGAGCACCTCCACTCTTCTGCGGGTGTGCTGTGCTCACTCCATGCTAATTAAAAGTTGGCTCTTGAGAAAGATCTAAAATTCATTCAAATCAATCTGACAGCCCGACAGCTTTAAGCACAATGGAATGGGTTTCTGGGATGTGGGTTATTTTTAAAATAATTGATTTGTTTGAAAATCAGCATTACACAGAGAGCGGGAGAGACAGAGATCTTCCATCCACTGGTTCACTCCCCCAAATGGCTGCAACAGCCAGGGCTGGGCCAGGCTGAAGCCAGGAACTATGAACTTCTTCCAGGTCTCCCACCCACGTGGGAGTGCAGGGGCCCAAGCACTTGGGCCATCTTCTACTGCTTTCCCAGGCCATAGCAGGGAGCTGGATCACCAGTGGAGCAGCTGGGACTCAAACTGGCATCCCACGTGGCTTAACTCACTACAGCACAGTGCCAGCCCTGGGGATGTGGGTTTTTAATAGTGGGGCCTCAGGCACAGCCAGCAAGGTTTCTCTCTGGTCCCAGAAATGCCGCAGGCCACTGCTCCTTCCACCTGATGCCCACAGGCCTTGGTTTTGCTTCAGGGGTCTCGCACCCATCTCAGGGATGTCTACTGTCCAGGCTTGCTCAGGGCCTCGACACTGTTGTGGGTCATCCAGGGAGGGACATGGTTAGCACCTGGCAGCGTCTGGGACGTGGGCAGAGCCACTCCAGCAGCCAGGGCTGCACTGGCCAGCACAGCTCTGGCATCCAGGAGCCTCAGGGGCCTCTCAGGTCACTTGCCAGTGATTGAACGTCCCTGGGCACACGGCACAGAACTGGGCACCGCGGGAAGCTGGTCCGGGGCCAAGCCGTAGAAAAGCTGCTGCAGGCCATTGCTGCCAGCCTGTGCCTGCCCAGGACTAAGGAGGTGCAGCACTGCGCCCAGTCCAGGAGGGAGTGCTGAGCAGCCACCCCAGCCCGACACCCCACACACACCCAGAGCGCCGGCCAAGGACATCAGTGGGTAGTCTTCTCCTTACACTTCCGGCTCCCCACTCAGAGGAAGCCTCCACTTACAGCCCCCAGACGCTCCTGGTTTCCCCAGAGCCATTTTGCTCAGAACCAGCTGAAACACACGGGCTACCACGCACAGCTTCGGCGGTGCCGTTTGTGGGAACAGGCATGAGGGAAGAGAACGCTCTTCTGGAAGGAAAGGGAAGGAAGGCAGAGATGGCCCTGAGAGGAGGTCTACAGAGAATAGGGCAGCAGGAATGCAAGGAAAACACATTTTATTTTATCATAAAGCCACAACCCGGCACACCCTGAGGGTGGAGAAGTCACATCTGAGCACACCTGGCACCCACTTCTGGGTAATCTAAGGAGAAAGCTCCGATGTCAAAATTCAGGGCAGGTCTTGCAAGCAGAGTGGGCCTGTTCAAGTGCCCATTCCGTCACCTGCCAGCTGTGTGGCCTTGTGCAGGCTGTTCAACTTCTCTGCCCCCTCATTTTCTTCTCTGTCAAAGAGGGCGGCGTGGTAGGGAACGAAGGAACTGAAAGACAGACACGGCTGAGCATGGGACCTGGTACTCAGCAAGCTCTCAAGGGTGCCACTCCCAGGACACTCCCTGAGCTCGTGAACGTGTGAGGGGACAGACTGGGGACCGTGATCGAGGAGGCAGGGTCGGTGCACTCGTCTCTTCAGCTTCGCCTCCTTGGCCTGGACAGCTGAAAAAGAGCCTTTGCTCCTGCCAAGTCCCAAGCCCGGAAAAGGACGGCCAGTGACAGCATCCCACAGCCTCCGCTCGGGAGCCCTCTGCCTCCAGCAAGGTCCGCGCCAGAGGACGCTGCTGTCGGCGGCAGCCGAGTCACAAATGCCACTCCCCACCCCAAGTTCCTCCAGGCCTCTGCACAACCAAGTGGGGCAGAGCGTTTGTGTGGGCAGGGCTGGGTACACCGGGCCGGCTAGGAGTCGGGAACAGGGCCAGGAGGGTCCGGCTTCCCACTGGCAGACGCGGCGGAGTCTCCATCTCGTTGCTGTCTGACGTACTGAGCCAGAAGGGCCGTCGCCTGCACAGGCTGCTGCTGCAGCAGGTGGTGGGTCTGGGCCGTGAGGAGGGCAAGCCCGCCGACCAGCTGCCCCTGCAGCAGGGCCAGGCTGGGCAGCTTGGAGTAGTTGACGAAGCCCTGCCTGCTGAGGATGGTGTCATCCACACAGCCACCTGCGAGGACACGGGGTCAGCCAGGCTCCTGCAAATGCCTCCTCTCTGAAGACAGCACTGCGACCCGAGGGATTTGCCTCCACTGCCCCTCTGGCCTCCCAGCCTGCCCCGGAGTCTGGTTCCTACTCGTGCCCCACCCCACACTCATTCTGTTCAGGATCGCCCCCTCCCCTCCCCTCTCCCATTACGCGTGCCTGCTGGATCTACTTGGCCCCGGCGCCCACAAGTCAGTGCTTCCTGCAGCTCCTGGAGACAGAGCTCCAGCCTCAGGGATGGGCGGCGGCCATGGCTCCCAACTTTCCCTAACACACGGAACTGCACACTTAAAACTGGGCACGATGGAGATGTTACGTGTGTTACAACACAAAAATCAAAAAAAAGAAAAAGAAAAAGAAAAAGGCCCTTGGGGGAGGGGAGCTAATACAATCACAGATCTACGGCTCTGCATTTCCAGACACGTGCGGTATGTGCCGAGTCTCAGCACCAGCGGTGTCTGGGAAGCACGGGTCATGGTTGCTCAGTACCCTTCACGCGGGGTGCTCTAAGTATCTCCCTCCACGTGGGTTTCAGCACCCACTGCCCGCTGTCCAGCTTCAGGTGTCTCATTTTTCTCTCTCCCTGCCTTCCGCAGTCCTCTAGCCAGTGACCTGGGGCAGTGGGGTAACACAGGTCTCGCAGTGACACCCCTCAACATCAGGCTCCACCCATGAAACAGCCCCTGCAAGAATCTCACGGTTCCACCTAGACACACCTAGCAGATGGCAGCACGCTGCTGGAGCGCCCGCCCCCTTCACCCCGCCCCCGGCTGCAGGGGTGCTGGCTCACCGAGCAGTGGCAGGAAAGGCACACTCTTCAAGATCCGCACCATCTCCTTGACCTTGGGCTCCTGACTGACCAGCAGCATGTTATGCCCCACAAAAAGGGGCAGCAGGCTTTGGTACTTGGACTGTTCCAGGAAGGGCTTCAGGACCTGGGACAGCAGGAGAGAATGGCTTTTGGGGGATGAGGAGGAGGAGCCTCTCACCTCGGTCACAGGCTGCACCAGGCTCGGGCGGGAACCCCAGGGTCCCCTCAGCCCCTAAGTGCAGTTTAGGCACCTGCTGAGGGGCTGGCTCACAGAGGGAGGAGTGGGGAGCAGCACACGGCAGGTGCAGCCCAAGCGGGCATGAGGGCAGAGGGTGCCCCCGCCAGGGGCCTGCCCCTACCTGGTTGGGGAAGACCTTTGTCAGGATCTCGTGCCTGCGCAGCTGGTGCCGCAGGAGAAGCTTGTCCTCGGCACTCAGGGGCACGTTCTGGCACACGGCGATCATCCGGTTGTCTCGGAACACCGCCGCGATCTCCCGCCGGAGGAGCCGGATGAGGCCTGTCTCCTGAAGCCAGGGAGGGACAAGCCGGGGACGTGAGCTGTCTGCTGTCCTGGCCCTTTTCGTTGCCTCTGAGAGGGGGGCTGGAGCCCCCTGTGATGCTCACCGGTGGGACAGACCAGGGATGGGCAGGACAGCTGGGCCCTGGCACACAGACCCATGTGACTGCCCCCACCCTCACCTGTGCACATCAGGTGACCGCTCCGGAGGGCAGTGTTCGTCAAACGTGAGGACAGCCGGTGCCCTCCTCCCCACCCACCGCCCCACAACATCGCCCACGCACTTCAGTCTGGCGCCGTACTCCTGCTCCTGTGCTTTATTTACCAACTATAAATGCAAGATGACTCTTTCGTGGCTAAGACGGTCGCATTTTCACAGAACAAGATTCCCTCTCCTTAAGGCAGTGTTGCTCACAGCTGAGAAGCGCAGGACTGGAGAATACACGGATTCTGAAGTTCTATTTCAACAGTGCGCGACCTAGAGCCCTGGTGCTGTCTGCAGAACTCTATGCACGGATCCGTACTTGCCAGTTACGGTAACGGGCCGCACTGCTGGGCTCCATCTAGGCTCGAGACCTGCCTGTCCAGTAGGGTAGCCACTGGACACGAATGGTTTTTTATACTTAAATTACAATCATATACGATCACGAATTCAGTCTCTTCGTCTCACTGCAAGTGAAGTATGGTGAGCATGGTGAGTGGCTGCCCTACTAGACAGGGTGGGCAGAAATGCTTCCATCAGCCCAGAGAGCTCCATTGCGTGTGCTACCCTGGATTCTCTTCCAGTTATGAGGAGTTATGTACTAATGGGTTAGAAAGAAATTATGAAAGGAAAACTCAAGTAGGAAAATCCCATTCAATGACACTCCGTAATCTGAGCCAGGAAGGGGATATGCAATCAATTTTTTCTGGGCGAAAGCTAAGTGCCGGGAACGAGGCCCGGCCACTGAAACATGGTCCATCAGACACCGCTCGGCAGAATGACCCTGTCTCTGTTCCCATGGGAGGAACCCCGACGGATGGGTGTTTTCCCACGTGTCCTGGAGGACTTGCTGCCGAGTCACTCAAGTCGTCTCCCCCTCAGTGCCTGCCGCCTGACCTCAGGCCCTCGGCCTGCAGCTGGGCATCCGCTCCCCACGTTCCAGCCTCTGGCCGGAGGGGCCGGCTCACCGGTGCTTAGGCAGCAGCAGCAAACCAGAGAACTAAAATTTATTAGGCACTATCATCACAGGAGCCACTACAGAGTCATGTATTCCTCACCAGCCTTTCTGTTCTTTTTTCTATTTTCCCCATGAGGCAGAGTGCCAGGGACAGGGAGACAGACAGACACAGAGTTCCCTTCTGCCGGCTCACTCCTCAAATGCCTACAATGGCCAGGGCGGGGGCCGGAAACTCAATCCAGGTCTCCCACATGGGTGGCAGGGACCCTGATACTTGAGCCATCACCTGCTATCTCCCGGTGTCTTCACAAGCAGGAAGCTCAAGTCAGGAGCTGAAGCCAGGAATCGAACCCAGGTACTCTGGGTTCACAGTGGGAACACGGGTGTCTTCATTGCTAGGCCAAATGCCCAGCCCTTCCTGTTCTTTTTAAAGGAGAGAACCCTTCTATCATTCCTCTAGGAAAGTGGAAGCTGTGACTCCTTTACGACAGCAGATATTCCCCCCAGTTCCATCTGCTTTGGCAGCTTTCACACAAAAATCAAAGAATGAAGGAAATTGGAGACAACGAATGAAGGAAACTCAAGAGGTCTGTCCAACCCATAAAGCCCAGGGTCAGCTGCAGATTCCATTTTAAAGCATCTGGACTGGGGCCGGTGCTGTGGCGCAGCAGGTTAAAGTCCTGGCCTGAAGCGCCAGCATCCCATATGGGCACCGGTTCTAGTCCCGGCTGCTCCACTTCTGATCCAGGTCTCTGCTCTGGCCTGGGAAAGCAGTGGAAGATGGCCCCAGTGCTTGGGCTCCCGCCAACCACGTGGCAGATATGGATGCAGTTTTGTATTCCTGGCTTCCAGGTGGTCCAGTCCTGGCCATTTGGGAAGAGAACCAGTGGATGAAAGAGCTCTCTTTCTCTCTCTTTTTTCATCATTCTTTTTTAAAAACATATACAGTACCTGGACCACAGACCAAAGAGGGGAAATGAAGTAATGACGTGAGGGGCTGTGGCTCGGGCTCCCACTTCACGGTGGCCAGAGAAAAGGTGGCTTCAGCCCACCATCCCGCCGCCAGGCAGTGTGCACCTCGTCTCCGCCTTACCTCCTTGGGGGCGCTGTGGGGAGGCGGCAGGCATCTTGGGTTGATGGCAGGTTTGGGGGGGATGTACTCGGTTACCGCCATCAGCTTCTGCCGCTCAAAGTGCATCACGCGTCGGTGGCGGGTGACGGCCTTGGAGCCATGGCGGACAGTCTGGAGAGTGGGCAGCCGGCCTGGGAGCAGAGACGGCGACATGGTGAGATGCAGCCCCTTGGAGGCCTCCCTCGCGTGTCCCCAGTGGAGAAAACACACAGCCTCCACACCCTCTGGGCAGAGACAACCATGGCTCCCACAGCCAGACTCAGGTCAAGGAGATGCCTGCCAGAATCCTGAATTCTAAAACCTCTTTACCAGGTGAACTTAGGTCAGCTGCTTGATCCCTTGGGGCTCCCATTTTCCCAGTTCTACTTATGTGCAGGGACGAAGAGAAGAAGGAGGACAAAGGAGAAAATATCTTGAACACATAAAGAAAAAGTGGAAGAGGGTTGAGCAAACAGTCTTAAATGGCCAAACGGTAAATATTTTAAGTTTGGAGGCCACAGAGTGTGTTGCTAACACTCCACACCACCGAAAGCAGCCACAGACAATACACAAAGCGGCCAGGTTCCAATAAAACAGTGACCAGCCCTACTGTAACATGCCAACCTGAGAGAGTGGTTCTCAGAGTGCCCTACCCCGAGCCTACCCTCCCCTAGCCAGCAAGAGCAGTATCTGGGAACTTCTTCGGCTCACAAATTCTCAAGCTCTGCCCTAGACCTGCTGAATCAGAAACCCTGCAGATAGAGTATAAGCCCCCAGGTGATGCCGACACCCGCTGAAGTTTGAAAACCACTGCTCTACCCGCTGCTCTGAGGCCTTCTCCTACAACGAAGCAGGAAGGAGACAAGTTAGTCTGCCCACACAGCCCTGGCAAACCCGTCTGCACCAGCACTGGAGAACACCCTCAGAAAACCAAGGGGGCCGGCGCTGCGGCTCACTAGGCTAATCCTCCGCCTTGCGGCGCCGGCACACCGGGTTCTAGTCCCGGTCGGGGCGCCGGATTCTGTCCCGGTTGCCCCTCTTCCAGGCCAGCTCTCTGCTGTGACCCGGGAGTGCAGTGGAGGATGGCCAAAGTGCTTGGGCCCTGCACCCGCATGGGAGACCAGGAGAAGCACCTGGCTCCTGGCCTCGGATCAGCGCGGTGTGCCGGCCGCAGTGCGCAGGCCGCAGCGGCCATCGGAGGGTGAACCAACGGCAAAGGAAGACCTTTCTCTCTGTCTCTCTCTCTCACTGTCCACTCTGTCAAAAAAATTAAAAAAAAAAAAGAAAGAAAGAAAGAAAGAAAGAAAGAAAGAAAGAAAGAAAGAAAGAAAGAAAGAAAGAAAGAAAGAAAACCAAGGGGGCAGGCACTCCAAAGCACTCAGCCAAAGCGACCCCTCTAACCTCCACACGAGGGCCAAAACTAGGGCTTCCCACTGCCACCCCCTCCCGAGGCTGGGACGGGGCCCCAGGGAAGCTTCAGAGGGAAGATGTTTCTAACAGCCCAAGAGCAGGGAGCTTTGCTAAGGTAAAGAGCTTTTACTACCTGCGGCCACAAATCTACCTGTTTCCAGCACAGATGTGGAGTCAGATAGAGCTGGATTTCAATCCCTCCAACTAGCTGTGGCCTTGACCAGTCACTCACTGAACTGGTCTGAACTTGCTCCCTCACCTGCAAAGAGGGGATGATAATACCTTCCTCAGAGGGTACTGGAAGATTTAAATGAGATCACGCACGTGAAACATCAACCCTCTCTATTAAGTTCTCAGACGCATTCCTCAACAAGTATCTACTGCATGCCTGTTGACATCAGACACCATGCCACCTGCCGGCTATGCTCAACGAATGCGCTTCTGCCCTAAAGGAGTTTAAAAGTTTACTAACAGAAGACAGACGAGCAAACCAGTGCGAAGTTAGACTGTGATGGGGCTAAGAAGTCGACCAAGAAGCAAGGTGCAAGTTGCAGACGGCACTGGGGAAACCTGCCCGGCAGGGGGTGGTGACCGAGAAGGTGACATCTAGGCTGAGACCTTCAGAAAGAGGCAGAACGCAAAGGGGCAGGCGCTGAGGGATCCGAGGGAAGGACACCGCTGCGGGCGACAGCGGGGCGGTGGGGCAGACACCCAGCCTGGGGCTGGGGCTAAACACTGTTACTACTGACGTTGCGGCTGTGAGGAGACAAGTCCCAGCAAACTGGGGGGGTTAGGGAGGCCAGCGACCCAGCTGTGGCCAGGGCGCAGGGAGCAGTCTAGGCTGAGATCACGGGAAGGGAGGAAGTAGAGGAGGGGAGACAAGGACGACGCGCAGGGAGGTCCTGAGCCGCTCCTTACCCGCCTGGGGCAGGAGGCCCCCTCGCACGACCGCCACCGCGGCCGCAGCCATATCCACCGGAAGAACCAACAGGCGCTGAGCGGAGGCGGAAGGAGCTAAGGATTGTGGGGCGGCGAGCGCGGGACAGGAAGCCGTGGGCTGACCCGCCGGGTGGGGCCTAGTCCGCATGCGCCGATCCAGGGCGCTGGAGCCGGACCAAACTCCGCCCAACCGGGCGTCCGGTCTCCTAGCAACGACACCTCGCTTTACTCGCGTCTTCAGCCGTACCCTGAAAAATTTGCTCCGAGCTTCTCTCGCTTGCTGGGTTCCGCCACGCCTAGCAGCGGCCCTCCTTGGCTGCCCCGCAACTCTCTCCCGCCTCGGGTCAGCGGCCGCTTAGGTTCGATGATGCCAGGAGGTGAGAGGCGGGCGGACCAGGGGGTCAGGGCTTCAAGAACGAGGTAGGGTAATAATGGGACTCTTCCGTGACAGCGAAGCTTGTCCAGAGCCCCGAGGAAGGAGGCGTGTGCATTACTGAAGCCCTCATCACTAAGCGAAACTTGACCTTCCCTGAGGACGATGAGCTGTCGGAGAAGATGTGAGTGCAGGGGGAGAGGAGGAGGGGAGCGCAGGGGAGCTCTGCCCGCTTCTCTCTGTCTCTCTCGGCTGACACCACGCGTCCAGGCCGTGCTAATGTCCAGCTGATATCCCCTCTTAAGTCACTGCTTCCTGTTAACCGCCCTCACTCGTCAGGCAGTCATCACTTCTCAACACACCCCAACTCGCCTCCTGTCCCCAGCCTGGCCCCCACAGCGTTGCCAAAGCGATCCTTTGAAATGGCAAGTCTGATGGAGCTGGCCCTCCTGGAGGCTCCCTAGCCTCTCCGTTACCTCCGAAGGAAATCCAATTGCCCTCGCAGGAGCGGACCTCTGCTACCCGTCCAGTCTTATCTGCAGTTTCTCATACCGTAGCACCTTACTACTGAGTGTGTGTGTGGGGGGGTACCACCGGGAGCTTGTTACAAGTGAAGAATCTCAGGTCCACCCCAGGCCTGCTGAATCAGAACCTGCAATTTAATGGCCCCAAAGGATTCATGGGCACTTGAAAACCAAGAAGGGCTGGATTAGCGTGCACTAGTCACTCAGCTGGAAATGCTGTTTCCCCACCCCCACCTCCTTCCTACCTACCTCCTACTCTCCCGTCACTTCCTCCAGGAAGCACTCCCTCACGCCCCTACTCTGGACTTGGTGCTCAGCCCAGGTACTCCCATGGACTTGCCCCTGTCACCCACTTGTCTGACATGTGTAGTCTGCCTCCCTGACAGTGACGGGCAGGGATTCTGCCATTTTCACTAGTAGGCACTCAGTAACTGCTGTGGAATTAATGAATGGATGGGTGGAACAAGTGATTTGTTTCCTTCTATGGCCACTCAAAAGGGAGGTAAGGAAGGAGCTTCCTGCAGAAGTGGTCGCCATCTCTGACCTTCCAAGCTGGCCCCAGGAAGCCTTCCTCCGGGCCCCGTCTCCTAGGTGACCCTTACTCTTCCGTCCCTCCGATCCTTCCCAGTGCTCCCAGCAGAGAGCCAGGCCTCCCAGTCTAGCCAGTTTCAGGACCTGCACACCACCTCCGGAGCCAGGAAACTGCTCCTGGTATCTGATCAGTCACTGAGCCAGCCACCTCTTGTCCCCTCCCCTGCGAGCGGGCACAGAGTCGGCGCCCCGTCAAGCACCCCGCCCACGTGCTTCCAGGTTTCACACTCTTGCTGAGCTGCAGACCGTCCGCCTGGACCGGGAGGGCATTACCACCATCAAGAACCTCGAAGGCCTGCAGAACCTCCACAGCCTCTATCTGCAAGCGGTAACATCCTGTCCCCTGCCCCTGCTCCGCCCTCGCCCGCCGTGCGCCACGTCTGGCTGATGTCAGAGCCAGGCAGGTCCTCCTGTCAGTCCCTGGCATGCACTCAAACCATTCCCATGAGTCGGGGCTGCTCCCCCTACACAAACAGGTCCTGAGCATGCTCCTGGACCACTCCCTGGGCTCCCGACGCGTCCCATCTCTCCGGTGAGGTAGCTCAAGCCCACTTCCTGTTTTGAAGATGAAACCACGCAGACTCCCCTACACCCTGCAGGTCCTTGGTGGTGGTGATATTTGCTTTTTGTTGTTGTTGTTGTTAAGATTTATTTATTTATTTTGAGAGTTAGACAAAGAGATCTTCCATCTGCTCGTTCAGTCCCCAGATGGCCACAATGGCCAGCCCTGGGCCAGGCTGAAGCTAGGAGCCAGGAGCTTCTTCTGTATCTCCCATGTGGGTGCAGGGGCCCAAATCCTTGGGCCATCCTCTGCTGTTTTCCCAGGTGCATTAAAACAGAGCTGGATCAGAAGTGGAGCAGCTGGGATTCGAACCGGCACCCGTGTGGGATGCGATGCTGGCTTTACCTGCTGCTCCACAATGCCAGCCCCTTTTGGTTGCTCTTCAGGCTTTCCTGGGTTACACACACCCAGCTCCTTTGCCCTTCCCCCAGAGACTTTACAAATCAAATCTGTACCCGCCCACTGTGCTCTCCCTGTGTACCAGCCACCACCAAGGCCTTTTCCATGCCCAGGGTGGCCCTCGGTTTCCTTCTCAGATTCCCTGGTCATGCTCTGGTTGTGGGGTTGGAGGAACATCCTTGGGTCTATTAGGCCAGCCCTAGTTTTACACCTGTAACTGTCTACCTGGAGAACACAATTTAGCTTTCCCAGGGCAGTGACAACCAGTCAAGGAGTAGGGTGACCACGGCCAAAGTGCACTGCCTCCAGCTGCCAGAGTGGCGGTGGTCCTGGGGCCTTGATCCCTTAGAGGGACCCCCACCCAGCTGACCGTCCGCAGCTGTGTTTCCTCTTCCTGCAGAACAAGATCCAGCGGATTGAGAACCTGGCTTGCGTGCCCTCCTTGCGGTATGTGGGACCAGGGCTCAGGCAGGGGAGGCGCGGGCAGAACTTGGCAACACCCTGAAGAACTGGTTCAGATCTCTCTGAGCCTGGCTCCTCGTCAGCGGGAAACACAGCAAGCCCAGGAAGTCATGTGCCCCGCGTGCCACCAGCTGCCAGCCAGGGGGCCCAGGTGGCTGGCGCCTTCCTCCTCTCCCCCCCAGTTGTCCTGATTCAGCTCTGGCTCTGTATCCCACTCTTCCCCTCCAGCTTCCTGTCTCTGGCAGGGAACCGAATCAGGCAGGTGGAAAACCTCCTTGGCCTCCCGTACCTCCAATTCCTGGACCTTTCCGCTAACCTGATAGAAACGCTGAAGCTGGGTAGGAGCTGCCTGGCCCTGGCTCATGGGCCACGGCCATACCCACATCTCCCTGTGCTCCACCCCGGCGTGTGCGCGATGCATCCTTGGGGGCTGGGGGTGGGCAGGAAGGTGGGTGAGATACTCAGGCCCTCGCTGCACTGTGCAGATGAGTTCCCACACGGCCTTCTCATCCTCAACCTGACCGGCAACAGCTGCACCACCCAAGATGGCTACAGGTGAGGTGGTGCTGAGGGAGAGAGCAAGGTGCTGGCCTCCTCGAACTCCCCGGGGCTCCCTCTCAGCCTCAGACGAGGGGGCCTCATCCATGGCACCCTTCTCCCTGGATCGCTCCCTCGCGCCCCTTCCATTCCCAGCCCCTGAGCCCTAAGGGCCCATCTCCTGCCCGGGAGCTGCCCCTCCCAGGTGAGGGGGCTGTGGCTGCTCCACTGCATCGCCCCCCTCCCCGGCGCCACCCCAGCCCACCCCACGGGTGTTCTCCGCCCTGTAGGGAGCGGGTGACGGAGGCCCTGCCACTGCTCCTGGACCTGGACGGGCAGCCTGTGTTGGAGCGCTGGACCTCGGACGAGGAGAGAGCCTCGGGCGATGAGGACGAGGAGTTCCCGGAGCTCAGTGGCCCATTCTGCTCCGAGCGAGGTGACGCTGTCTTCCCCAGCGTGCAGCCTCCCCGGGGCCCCACAGGCCCTGTCCTGCGGGCTGTGGGGGAAGCTGAGATTTCAGCGGGGTCTGGGTAGGGTAGCTCCGGCCCAGATCACCAGCTGGGCCAGAGGTGGTGGGCAGTGCAGCCAGGGCCGGGTGTCAGTCCAGGGCGGGCGGTCACCTCCTCCCCGCTAGGGATGGCAGGGGGTCAGAGCCTCCCTGGCCCTCACAGGCTTCCTCAAGGAGCTGGAGCAGGAGCTGAGCGGCCGCAAGGAGCGCAGGCAGCAGGCAGCCCTGACGGAGCACCTGCTGAGGATGGAGACAAAGCCCGCCCTCGCCAGCCTGCCCCCGCGGCCGCCGCTGGAGGAGCAGCCCACGGCTGGGGACAGCAGCCCCTCTGCCACTCCCAGGCAAGGGAGAGAGATGCCCCCTGAAGCCCCCTCCTCTTCCATGGCCTCCTCTCCCACCAAGAAACCCTGCGCTCTGGCTCCCAGGGCCCAGCAAAGCTCCCAGGCAAGGAAGGGCCCCCACGTGGCCGCAGCCCCCAAGACCTCTGGGGTTGGGGCCACCAGAACTGTGACCAAAAGAGCTAAGAAATAAAGCCCCTGCGGCGGCAGCCCTGCCCAGTAAAGCGACCACGCTTCTTGTGGTCACCAGGGGCCCTGGGGGAGGCACCAGTAAGACCACCAGGAGGCAGAAGGCACACAGCCCAGGGAGCAGCCTGGCTCCAGGAGCAGCTTCTCGGCCCCCAGGGGCTGCCAGGGGCGGGCACACCTCTGGGCCCCGCCTGGGGGGACGGGCAGTGGGCGCCACTCCTACAGCTGCCATCCCAGGCGGGCACAGCTTACTGGCACCCCTAGGGAAGGCCATTCCCCAGTCCAAGGCAAGGACCAAAATCCCGTGGTCCTAACTGTCCCCAAATAGTAGGCAGTGGCCGTGCCCTGGGGGACCCTGGGCGGGGGGGGGGCTCACTTCCTGTCCCTGTGGCCCCTTCACAACCTTCATGGCTGGGCCCTATCACCCACTTCACAAGAATCAGCTCAGGCCTGCCCTTGGCCCTTACTTGGGTTTCCTACCCGCACCGGACTTGAAATCCAGTTCACTGACCGAGAAATAAAACGTTTATTAAGGCCCAGGCCAGCAGGCCGCTCAGAGCGCAGCCAGGGATCTGCCCAACTCCACCTGCTCAGGGCAGTTGGCCCAGGGGGTCGTTGGGTGCCCACGCCAGGCCAGCAGGAGCGCACGCTCAGCCATAGGCCTGGCTCTCTCTCTCCACGAAGGCCTGGAAGAGGCCAGCCAGCTCCTGGGGTGATGGGTGCCACTCGCCAGCCAGCAGCCCCCGCACAGCCTCCAGGCCTTCCTGCTCCAGATCCCGCTGCTTCTGCTGCAGCTGCTGCCCCGGACCCTGCAGGGAAGGGGCCAGGCAGGGGGCTCCGTCCAGGACCGGCCACCTCCACCTCACACAAGCGGGAGTGGGGCGAGCCCCTCGACCCTGGGGGTTACCTGCTCACTCTCCATCAGCCCCAGGGCCGCCTGGTGTCCCCGGTAGAGGGCATGCCTGCGATCCACCTGCGTCTGGAATCGGGGCAGGGTCCGGACAGGGTCCTGTGCTCCGAAAGTGGGGGACACGACCTGGGGGGCCGGGGCCGCCCCCACTCCGAAGACAAAAGGCTTGAACACGGACCTGGTGGGCCACGGGTGGGAGGACTGAGGTGGGCGGCCTCCTCTCCCCTCCTCTGCCTGTCTCCGGCCTTCCCCAGCCCCGTCCTGCTCACCTGGATGGGTCAGGCGTGGCGGTGAGGAAGTGCACGCAGGGCTGCGTGGGATCCTGGGGCAGGACGGACACCATGCTGGCCGTGGTGCGGAAGCCACCCGAGTCCATGCAGATACCGCTCTCCTTGTTCCTGAGGATGTCCATCATCGCCTGGGCCGTGAGGGCCCCTGCCGGGGAGCGGAGGGTGAGCGGGGGCGGCTGGGCGCAGGGTGGGGCGCTGGCCCCCAGGTCTGCCCTGCCCGCCCCTGCAGACCTTGCTGGTGCCGCAGCAGCTCCTGCCCGGCCCGGAAGCGGGCCTTGGCGGCCTCCATGCGCACAGGCTGCTGGGTCAGGGAGAAGACCTGAGCGAAGTCGAAGGCGCCCTGCCCATCCCACCAGCCCTGGGCCCGGGCGTGGGTCCGAAGCTCCGGGTGTTCGGCCGAGATGTCCGTGCCGATGCTCAGCTGGTTGGACAGGTTACGGGCCCCCTCTGCGGAGGAGATGGGGGGGTCATCCACATGTCTTGATGCACCTGCTCTCTGCTGGCACCAGGCGAGGCACTGAGGACACAGGGTGATGAGAACAAGCTACCCGCCTGGAACCTATGGGGGCGAGGGGGAGACGAACAAAGCGAGCGCCCAGATACACGGAGGTGTGTGCTGGGGCCAGTGAAGGACGTGGAAGCCTGACCACCCAGAGAAGTCCAGGAAGGCTTCCCAGAGGAAGCAGAAGGCTGAACCGCAAAGGCTCACTGCCCAGAGCTCCGCCCCTGCATCAGGCCAACATGGGAAGGGGGCGCCTCACCCTGGATCCTCTGTGCGGCCCACAGCCTCCCGGCCGTCTCCAGCACCCACGCCTCCGTGCGGTCGGCCAGCAGGAAGGTGTTGTGGTAGCAGAAGGGCGTGGGGTCCTCCCGACAGCTGCCCCCCTGCCCATAGCGTTCCAGCAAGCCCGTGATCACCTGCCAGGCCTCCCGGGCAGAGCTGCTCCGCTCTAAGGCCAGCCTGGCAGAGAGAGAGAGAGGTCCAGGGGCAGCCGTGGCCCAGAGAGGTCACACAACCCATCTGCTGGCCTGCACCGTATTAAAACACAGCGATGCCAGTGCTTTCCAAGCTGTGCCCTGAGGGCCCTGTGCACGGGCCTGAAACTTGGTCCTCAACCTGCCCGTAGACACAGCCCCCCTCCCCCCGCCGTGGATGGGTTCCATGAATCCAGCCTCTGCACGAGCAGCTGTAAAACCGCTGCCCTATGTGTGCACCAGGAGAGGCTCCTCGGCCTAGGCAAAGGGAGGTAGCAGACGGCAGGGGCAGGGCGGCCTCCCGCGAGAAGGCCCAAGGGCAAGGTCAGCAGAGAGGACCCTGGGAGCCGGGGTGGGGGTGGGGAGCCCAGCGCCTGAACTCTGCCCTCAGATTTCTGGTGTGCTGGGCAGGGGCCACACCTGAGCAGGTCCATGCCCAGCAGGGCTTCCCCCTCGCCCACCGGCTCCTTGGTCCACACGGCCTCGTTGCCTATACAGACGCCGTGCTCATTGGCGCCCATCTCGGCACCCCACAGCCAAGCGGGGCGGCTGAGAACCACAGCGTGCGTCTTCGACACCTGTTCCACCTCGATGTAGGTGCACTGACAGGAAGGGAGAGGGGAAGAATCCGCTCAGGTGAATCGCAGGGAGGAAGGCCTCATACCCATTTTACAGGTGAGCCGACTGAGGCCGGCAGGCTCGAGTAATCCTCTCAAGCTCCAGACCTGGCAGCCTCCCAGGCATGGGGAGCAGGGGAACACGCAGAAGGGTGCCCCCACCTGCCCCTCCCAGCACCCCGTGGGGCCTATCCCACCTGGAGCCGGCTCCCGGGGACGTGAGTGCCTGCTGGTACAAACACCACCTCCTGCACCTCGTCCCGGGGTCGGTCTGAGTTCTTGGCAAAGATCACGGCCGGGATGGCGGAGGCAGGGGGCACGGAGACAAAACAGTCGCAGGAACACGGGGTGTCAGGGCTGGGCGACGCCATCTGGGGAGAGGCGGGGGTGAGTGTGTCCCTCCCAGGCCACCTCTCCACAACCCTGGCCGCGGCCACACGCGCAGCGCAAGACGCTGCCGCGGGCTCAGCACCGTGCACGGTGTGCACAACCGGCGCACCCGCCCCTCCCCAGGCTCCGAGGGTCCTGTCCCTGCCGGGAGCCCTGGCCCCTAGGGGCAGTCGTGGGAACATCTCCAACCCTTCTCCTCGTCCGGAGTTCTCCCGCGCACGCCCAGAGGCCGCCCCGCTCCCGCTCACCGCTTCTCGGCGTCCCCAGGACTGGAATGCCCCTCTGTCCCTCCGAGACCCCCAGCCTGCCGCCCGGCACCGCCTCCTCGGCGTCGGGTCAGGTGCGTCCCTTTGGGCGGGCGCTCCCTGGTGACCTGGAAGGCCTTGCGCCCCGGGGGCGGACCGGAACCTGCAGTCCCGGCATTGCCCAGCAGGGCGCGCGCCGGCACTACTTCTCGGAGCTCCTAGCTGGCTGCGGGCCCAAGGGCCGGGATGCCGCGGCGGGGTGGGTCGTCGTGGGGGAGCTGAAGCCGGGAGTGGAAAGGAGCCCTCGTGAACAGGGAGGATTTGTCAGAGCGGGGACTTGTGGGGCATCTGGAGATTAAGGAAGAGCCTCAGCCACTTAAATCCTGGCTTGAATTCCCAAGGGGCAATCCTAGGCCGGTGGCGCCTCCGTAATAAGATCTTCTGAGCCCTCAGAAGCCGGGAGGTGGAGGAATAACTTAAGTTAATGCACTGTTTATTTATCTTTATTTCTATATTTATTTCAAAACCAGAGAGACAGAGACAGAGCTCAAATCCTCCGATTCACTCCCCAAGTGCCCCCAAAGGAGCCAGGAACCCCATCCCTGGCTCCCACGTGGAAGGCAGGAGCCGAGTACTTGGGCCAGCATTTGATAATGCATCAGGAGGAAGCTGGATCAGAAGCGTGCAGCAGCCTGGAGTGGAACCAGGCCCTGGGTATGCGGTGCTGGCATTCTGCCACTCAACCCACCCCGCCACAGCGCCCACCCTGGTCAGGGTCTTGCTGTTCTCAGGGTGAAGGTCTTTCACCTCCTTGGTTGCATTAACTCCTTGGTCTGCTATTTTGGGTAGCTATTGTCAATGAAATTGCTTTCTGAATCGTTGGTTTGGTGTATAGAAATGCTGCTGGTTTTTGTGCACTGAACTTTGTATCTTCTGTCTTCCGTGTGGGTGTTTGCCTAGTCCTGACCAGTTTTTGGTGGAGTTTGGTTCCTGAGGTTCTTTCCTAGCCTGCACTGCCAGGGGGCTGAGCAGTCAGGCACAGCAGGGTTACGGGGAGGCGAAGGCGGTGTTGGGTGCAGTACTGGGAGGGGGCTGGGAGGTTGCTATCAGATGCTCCCCAAGCAGACGCTGAAGCCGCGAGCTGATGAGCGCGGGGCGCCAGCATCTGTCTGCAGGCCTGGGGGCTCACCCCCTGCATTTCCCCAGCTCCCCGCAGTGGGGCCCCAGCAGGCAGCAGGGAGGCCTGGAGACGCCACAGCACAGCCCCAGGCGACCTCAGTTCCCAGGCTAGCCTATTCCTGATTTCCCATTCCTGATTTCATTCACCCACCCCAAAGGGACTCTACCCCCACTTCCCAGGATTGGGGATGGCCCAGAGAGGTCGCGTCCAGGGTCAGCTCAGATGTTGTGACTTCCCTGGCCCCTCCAGGACTGTCCGCCAGAGCACCACATCTGGGGGGTCAGAGGTGGCCTTGGGCTCTGCTGGGGAGTGGGGCAGGCCAGCCAAGCAGCATTGCAAGGGAGCAAGGGAGCGTCAGAGCCTCGCCAAAGGCCCCCGCTAAGAATGCAGGTCAGCGGGAGGAGCTGCCCGGGAGGAGGGGCAGCTCGGCCCTGCCCAGACAGGCCCAGCCGGCCCTGCGGCTGCCCTCCTGGCCCTGGGGGCAACCATGGGGGGGACACAGGAGGGTCATCAGGTTCCAGGGTCTAACTCCCCCAGAACCAGAAGACAAAAGAGGCACCCGTAGGAGTGGGGCAGGTACGGGGCCGCAGGCAACTGTCTGCCTCTCCTCCCAAGCTGCTAAGTCCAGGAGCAGAAGGGAGCAAGCAATCGCGCCGCCCCAGGTTCCCTTAAAAACCCAAAATGTATGTTTTTAAAGATTTATTTTATTTATTTATTTATTTATTTGAAAGTCAGAGTTACAGAGAGAGGGAGCAAGAAAGAGAGATTTTCCATCTTGCTGGTTCACTCCCCAAAATGGTTCACTCTACAAAGACTGGGGCTGGACCAGACTGAAGCCAGGAGCCAGGAGCTTCATCTGGGTCTCCCACATCAGTAGCAGAGGCCCAAGCACCTGGGCCAGCCTCAGCTGGTTTCCCAGGAGCATTAGCAGGGAGCTGGATTGGAAGTGGAGCAGGCGGGACGGAACCGGCACCCATATGGGATATTGGCATTGTAGGAGGTGGCTTAACCCATTACGCCACAATGCCTGCCCCCTCACCCTAATGTTTCTGATTCCCCCATCCCAAAGTGCCCTGAAATCTCATGCCCCACACTCCCCGGATCAAGGGATGGAACGGCCGGAGCTGGCTCGAGAAGCCGGCTTGGGGTCAGAGTGGGGGCGGGGTGGGCAACGGGAATCTCCCTGGGGGAAAACGAGAATTTTGGCCAAAAAGAGTGAGATGGGAGGTGGGAGAACGTGGTCACCCAGCCCGTGCCTCTGCAGGCCCCTCTACCTGCCTCCCGAGAGCCAGGCTCATTTTCACAAGGTCTTTAACTCAATCGCTTGACACGAATTAGGCACCCACGTGTGCTGGCACTGGGCGGCCTGGGAAAGTGTGTACAGGTGGGAATTTCTGCTGGCTCCCCGGGGGCGGCGCGCGCGCTGGGTCCAGCGAGGGATTTTTGTGTGCACGGCGGTTGTGTAACTGCGGCAGCCAGGAGTGGCGGCCGGAGCCTTTCCCGGGTGCCTTCCAGCTGGGCAGGCGCCCATCAGATATCTGGCTGCCTTTCATCGCCTTGTCCCCGATAGGGATCACCCTGGGTGACGAAATCGCTGTCAGTCACCCCCACCTCGCTCAGAGCCAGAGGGCCGGCCGGCATACACACCCCCACGGGGCGGGGGCCGAGAGCCTGGCTCGGCTTGGGAAGGGAGAGAACTGGGGTTCGTAGCAGGGGAGGGGAAGAGGGGACTTGTGTGTGGAGGAGGCGGGAACTGTCTAGAACAGTCTGCTTCCTCTAGGTGCAGACCAGGGAGGGCTCTCCCTCCTGCAGCCCCAACCCTCCCCCGGGCAGGGTCAACCCCGCCTCCCCAACCCCAATCAAATGGAGATGAAGCTGCCCCCGGGGCTGCGGGATCAAAGGGAAGGGTCCACCCCGCCCTGCAGCCCGGAGCCCGTCCTCGCTGCTGAGGACGGAGCTGGAAGACAGATGAAGCAACAGAGATGTCGTTGATGACTTTATTGTTGCATAAAAAACACAGGCTGTTTCTTCCTCCTCCTACCCCCCCAAAGTGGGTTCACAGCAGTTCAAGAAAAAAAAAAAATCCTACATTTTCCTCTAGGGAGGCTGCCTGGAAGGGCAGGCAGCCGAGCCACCGAGATCTACCAAAGTAGGGAGCAGAAGACCCCTCTCCAGAGCCCCGACCTGCATACCTTAGAGCTAAGGGCCTCTACGGGGGCAGCAGCCGTGTGCCCCCCAACACCCAAGTGGGAGTTCCCCTTAGAATGGCCACTGGACAAGGCTGTCTTGGTAGCACAGGGAGGGGGTGGCTGGTTTCGATGGGTGGAGAAGAAAGGCATCCCACACCCACAGCGCCCTCCTTCCTCCCCCACCCCCACCTGGCCAGGCAACCTGCGGCCTTGGCCAGCTCCCCTTCTGCCCCCAGCCCTCTCAGGGAGGAAGGGGACAGCGGGCTGGGTTAGCCGAAGGCAGGGGAAAAGGAGAGGGAGAATCGAGAAAGATCATTACTTCTTAAACTACCCCAGGCCCCGGGGGCCCTCAGGGAAGCCCCTCTGTCCCTGTTAAGGAAGGCCCCTTTCTACACAAACATGTATTCCCACCCAAATCCCAGCCCCCACGTCCCATACAGCTCCCAGTCCTCAGACTGGGCCCCAGCATCCCCAAGGCAGGAAGAGACGCTGCGGGCCTAGGCCCTAGACCTTGGACGGGGTGAACAAGATGGGGTCTCAGGAGACCCCAGGCTCAGTAGAGAAACACACACACACATGCACACACGCACACATGCACAGGTGCACAAGACATGCACGCACACACATGCCCTAATATTAAATAAAATACCCTTTGCTTATAACTTAAAAATCAATACACAGCTAATCCCTGCAGAGGGCTCTGGGTGGAGAATGGAGAGCGAAGCGAAGGGGGAGGTCAGAGGGACTTTAGGCCCAGGGAAGCCCCCAGCCCCAGGGTCCCGTGGCCTGCCAGACCCTCCCCTCCCGGGACCAGCTCCTCTCCCAGGTGCCTGGCCCAGCCTCTGCTGGGCCCCTCCCCACCCCCACCCCCAAGATCCCAATCCACCTGTATTTCTAGCATCTAAAGGAGAAGGGGCCAAGTGGGGACAGCTTCTTGGACGTCACCTCTGACGGCAGAGAAGGCCATCAGAGGGAAGACAGCGCCTGCACGGGGAGAGGACTTTCCCCTGCGGTGAGCTGGGGAGGAAGCAGCTTCCTGAATGCACTCTACAGGGGGATGGGGCAGGGCAGGGCAGGGCGGGGCAGGGGCTGGCCAGGCAGCCCCAGCGTCCTGCACTCCAAGTGGGAACAGCTAGAGGGGTCTCTGCTGGACGCCCCCAAGGGGAAGGCAACTGAGGGGAACCTCCGGGAGAGAACTACATCAATTCTAGAGCTGCGGCTGCTACTGGGAGCCTTGGAAACCTACCTAGGGGCACAGACCCGGAAGCTGCACTACTGAGCTTGCTTTTTAAAAAAAAGACCAAGAGTCAAGGACTGCACGGGAGCAGAGGCGGAAGCGGGTGGTTGCGCGCATCCCCTCGACGAGTCCCTCTCTTTCCTTTTAGAGGGGGATTTCCCTGCTTCCCCCACCCCCACCCCCCGCCTCTGTTCTCCGCCCCATAGCTCTGGCCTGAGAACTGTGTGGGATTGCTACCCTCTTCAATCCTGGCTCCACTAGACTGGGTCTGGAAGGGTTAATACGGAGGCGCGTCAAAATTTCTATAACAGCTACAGACACGCCCCCAACCTAGGGGGTCCCCCCCATCTGGGGGGGGCCTCCGGAAGCCCCAGGACTCAGGCACCAGGAGGCTGAGGAAGGCGACCCGGCCCCTTCGGGCGGCTCCGGGGGCGCTTCCGTGTCCAGGTTCCCAGGCCTGCAAGGACGAGTCTCGACAGCCACCCCTCTCCCCGCGCCCCCGGCGGGCCCGCTCCGCTCAGCTCCGGGCCGCTTTCCCCTCCAGCCGCCGCAGGGGTGCCCACCCCCACCCCCGCCCGGGGCCCTGAGCTGCGCGCACGGCTCCTCCCGGCCCCATCGGGCAAACACCTTCCGTCCAGCCCCAGCGCCCACATTGCTCCCGCAAGCGCCCGACTCCCCGTCCCCGCCCCGCTCTCCCTCCCGCACAATAAATAACCGCCTTCCCTGTTACTGACTGCAGCCGGCCCCGAGGACGTCGGCCTGGGGACTCTTGCGGCGCCCCCGGGAGCCCGGCCACGGGCGGCACCCGCGCAGCTCAGTTGGAGGGAGGCGCGCTGCCCTCGGCCTCCCGCTTGCCTTTGCCCCCGGGGGGCTCCACCGCGCCGCCGGCCTTGCCTTCGCCCTGCGCCGCGCCGGCCGCCTCCTCCTTGGCGCCCTCGTGGGTCTTCATGTGCTTGGCCAGGTGGTCGCTGCGCATGAAGACGCGGCTGCAGACCGCGCAGGGGAACTTCTTGGTGCCCGTGTGGGTCTGGAGGTGGCGCTGCAGCTCGTCGGAGCGCGTGAACCGCTTGCCGCAGAAGAGCCAGTTGCACACGAAGGGGCGGTCGCCACTGTGCCAGCGCAGGTGCGCCTTCAGGTGCGACGTCTTGGCATAGGCCTTCCCGCAGCCCGGGATGTGGCAATTGTGCAAATGCTTCTTCTTGCCCCCGTCGGGCCCGCACGGTGCCCCCAGTCGCTCCGCCTCCAGACAGTTGGGGCAGCGACACACGGTCTGGCCTGAGCTGCGTGGCACCGACCGCCGGGAACCTTTAGGCCGGGTCGCCCCGTCCAGACTGGAATCCAGCCCTTGGGACTCCGGGGCAGCCGCTTCCAAGGCCTTAGCCCCGTCGGGTGGCCCCAGGAGGTGCTGCCCTCCGGCGGCTGGGAGGAGGTGGTGCGGGTGCGGGTGAGGCGGCGGGGCGCAGAGCTGGTGGTCGCCGACGTAGCCCCCCAAGCCGGCCTGCAGCGCCCCCGGGTGGCCAGGTGAAGTTAGCGCGCCCTGAGTGTGGGGGAGGTCCATCCAGCTGGTGCCCGGATGAAGGTCCCACCAGGAGCCATCCTCCGTGCCTGGGTGAGTCGGCCGGAACCACGATTCGTAATGGTGGGACATGTCCGGCTGCAGGAGCTTGGAAAAGGGTCCCGGGGCCAAGGGACTGTCGCTTTCCAGGTCCTCGCAGGTCACCCGCGAGGAGGCCCCCGGCAGCTCATAGCCCTGTGAGAAGTCCACCTCCGGGCCCAGCGGGAGGCTCTGCAGCTCGGCAGGCTGCAGCGGGGATGGGTAGTCCCCGGCCTCCGGGCTCGTGTGACCCTGGTATGTTTGGAGAGGCTGCAGGTCGAGGCGCGGCGGCGAGGCGTGAGGCGCGTCCGTGTGCTGGCTGCCCAGAGAGCCGCAGACAGCGGTTAGCATTGCCGGGGCCCGGGGTGGGTGGGGGACAGGGACGGTCAGGGGCACCTCAGATGGGACCTAGAGAAAGCAAAGCGGAAAATAGGTGAGGAAAGTCCCCGGCTTTCGCTCCTGACCCAGATCCCCTCCTCCCAAAGTGCTCCTCTCTAGCCCCCAGGGAAAACACGTTGGTGCCTTTGGGTGGGGACTGGGGAATTTGGGAGTGCTAGGGAGGGTTGCGGATGTGCGGGGCTCAGGCAAGGGCAGAGCAGGGTGGAGATCTGCCTTCCTAAGAGATCGCTCCCATAGGACACAGGGCATCCCTGCTGAGTTACACCTGTCGGACTCTGCTAGGTCCATGCCCACCCCGGCTGCCCAGGCCAGCAGCGCAAGCACAGCACACCTGCTGCCGGGCCCTAATGGAGCGTACAGACCCATCTCAGCTTCCCTGGTTGACCTCAGCACACAGATGGGGGGGGGGGGGCGCGGAGGTGGTCTGCTGGTGAAACCAAAGCTTGGGGGTCTCTGCTCTGCAGAAAGTCCAAAGCAGGTCCTGAGCTTTTTAAAAAGGCACTCCTGCCACCACCAAGGCATGTCCACGGAAGCCGACCTTCCCCTTCACTGCAGCAGCCCCCGTGACGCGCAGCTCTCCTCCCGGCCTGCTTGCCAGGGCCCCATCAAACCCACTCCCCTGCCTGGCAGCGCCCCTTTCCCTCGGGCAGGGACTTCACCTTCCTGGGGAGCTGCCGTGGTACCAGTTTGTTTTCCTTGGCAGCCCTCCCCCCATCCAGAGAAACCCGAGAAGCCGGTGCCAGCCCACTCTGGCTACCACCCATGCCCTTCTCCAAGCCAGGGGTGGTGGTGGGGAATCAGACATGAAGCTGGGGGCAGTTGGTTTCCCCCCAGAAGGGAGCCAGCCGAAGAACACCTTGGCGGCAAGCTCAAAGCTCCTCGTGCCACCCCTTTAAGGGCTGCAGGGTCAGAGTGCAGAAGCCGAGGGCAACTAGGGAGGCCTTGATGACCCCAGAACTGGAGAGGCAGAACGGCCGGGAGAGATTCTATCAGGGGTGCAGCTGGGCACTCCCCCAAGACTGCCATCAGCCGAGTGTGGAGACCACGCAGCCTGGCCAATCTTCTTTTATAGAACACTGAGCACACCTTGCAGTACTGACTCGGACCATGATGCTGCTCCTCTGTCTGCTCATTCAGTCCACAGTACGGCGTTCCTCTGGACTGCCTCGAGCCTCTGGACCCAAAGCCGCCATCGGCTTCCCTCCACCTCTCCCTAAGGCCTGGGAGCCCTGGGGCCACCACGTGCCTGGCTGGGGCTTCTCTGGGGTCTTTTCCTTCCCACAGCAGGGCTCAGCTGACCCCTACCACCTTCTGGCCCTGGAACCAGGGTGGTGGCACTAGTACTCTGGGAGAGGCCGCGAGAGGAGGGCTGGGCGCCTACTCAGGCTCCGGCTGCCTTACCACAAGAAAGGAACGGGGTGAAGCCGCAGGAGCGGAGCCCCAGGCCGGGGCGGGGCGGGAGCAGCCAGGCCCGGGACCCTAATAGCTCTTGGCGCCTGGGAACTGCCCCAGGGGCTGAGAGGTGGGGAGGCTGGGACGATCCCGGCTCCAGAGTGGCCTCTCACAACCGCGAGCGGAGAACCCAGCCTGGGATGCCGCAGCGGCTTGCACCGAGGCTTCGGGCGAGGAGGGCGCAGGGCGCCAGGGCGGTCGCGGGAAGGCGGGCAAGGGACGCCCCTGTGCCCCATTCCGCCGGTGCTCAGGCAGTCGGGCCTGACCCGTTCCTGGTTCTCAAAGTTCCAGTCCTCCAGTTGTCCCCGTCGCTCCAGTTTCCCCAGTTTCCAGTCTCCTCGGTCGCTCCAGTCTCTCTTGTCCGCCCAGTTTTCCCTCCTTCGAAGCCCTAAGCCCCTCGGATCCTGGAGGACCACCCCGCTCCCAAGGCCAGAGGAGGCTGCCGCGCGTCGGGAACACTTTTTCCCAAGAGAATTTCGGCAGCGACCACCTCGCGCGCACACACACACACACACACACACGCTCCGGGCCACCCTGCCTCGGGCCGGGCTCCTACCTGGAGGCTGCGCTCGGGCTCCGGGCGCGGCGGGCTGGTGCGCTACAGACGCGCGCTCATGGGCCCTGCGCGCCAGCCGGTTCTCCTGCAGTGAGGGGCAGCAGCCGAGGGCGCGGGGCTGCGACCAGACCGGGCGGCGGCGGAGGAGGCGGTGAGAGCCGGCGGGAGGGCGGAGGCCGGAGGGCGGGCGCGAGCCAGCGAGCGAGCGAGTGAGCGAGCGAGGCCAGCTCCGCCCGTGACTCACCCGCGCTCTCTGCCTTCATCCTCTCCCCTGCGCTCCTTTTTCCCCAGAACTCGCGGCCCCGCCCACCTCACCTGCCGCAGCCTTTAACCCTTGCGGGCTCGGCCGGACGGGAGGCCCAGCCCGGCGCTGGAGGAGGGGGCGGGCGGCCGCGGGGGAGGGCTGGTTAACTAGGCCGGTCCCCGCCGCTCCTTCGCTCCTCCTCGTCCTCTCCACCCCCTGGGCCAGGGGCCCGGGCGCGGTGTTTCCCAGGTTCTGAGACCCGCCCCATCGGGTGGAAAACTGCCCTCGAGCTGCTCGGATCTGGATGGGGACGCGGGACTCAGGCCCTGGGGGAGTGGAGGAGGGGCAGGTCCTGGGGGAGGGGTGACCCTGCGCCGCTCTTCGGGCGCGGGTTGCCCTGGTGTGCCCCGTGGCCCACCCACCCCGGCCGGCCAGCGCTGCTGCCCCGCGGAAAGGAGAGGACACTGGACTGAGCGCTCGGCCCAGGCCAGGCCGTGAGAAGCCTGGGACGTCCTGGCTGCCCTGCTTCGCCATTGCCCTCGCAGCCGCTCTCCGCCGCAAGCCACTTCCCCGCTGCGGGTCGCTGGCTGCCCCATGCTCTTCTGGTCCCCCAGCCCAGCTCTCACAGTCCACCGCCCCTTAGGGGGCAGCCCCGGCGCCCGCCTTGGTGTCCTCTCCAAGACACCACCCCCTCCTCTCCGTCCCGGGCGTGCTCAGCCGACGCCGGCACCCTGGCTCCCGCACGGATCCAGTAGACTGGTCAGGCGCCTGGGTGGATTGAGCGACCCTTTGCCACCACTCCCCGATTCTCACCTGAATGTCTAAACCTAATATTTTTAACGAAGGGTCCGGATTCTTTTGAAGAAAACAAATGCTCTGTACACCATGCGACACTCTGGCAAAATTTCAGGGCGTTGGTGGCGCTTGCCTAAACACTCCGGGGTCGGATGGGTAGAGAACCCGGGACGAAACGATTGCCTGGGGTGGGGGTGTAAGAGTCCCCCTCCCGCCGGGCTGGCGTCTGCACCCTGGTGAGCCCCTGCTCCTTTCTGAATCGAAGCCTCCCAGGCTGGCCTCATGGGACCTCGCAGAGGACTTTCTTTCTTTCTTTCTTTCTTTCTTTCTTTCTTTCTTTCTTTCTTTCTTTCTTTCTTTCTTTCTTTCTTTTTTCTTTTTTTCCTGTTTTGGCACGGGATTTCTGATCAATTTCCATATTTCTTTCCCTGTGCGGGTTGGCTTCTCTCGTGCGCTTTGCCGTGGGGTCTTTAAAATTTCGTTTTTGTTTTTAACAGCCAATTTCATTCAGCCCGACTGGAATTTGGGCTGATTTAATCTGTCCTCTCCAGCCCGTGTTCCACTCCCATTGCTTTATCTATCCTGCATTCCCGTTTGGGACACGCTGGGAGTATGGCTATAAAAGGGTTGAACAGAGTCTGGGAGCAGAAATCAGAGTGTTGTGGTTCCCTCCAAGTGCACGCACAACACGGGCACCCTCCTCTCCGGAATCAGTGTCGGGTTCACCCTGCGATGTCTCCCTTTTCTAAGGCTCAGTTCCCTGAGCCGGATGACCCCGACTGGAGGGTTTCCCAGGATTTAAAGGAATGGTACCTAAAAATTCCTAGCTGGTGGGGCTCCTGGGAAGTATGCAGGCAACAGAAGATATTTTTGTGTCAATGAATCAGTTCCCAGCAAATGTCTATTGTATATATTCAAAAGACTGAGGGCGAACTAACGTTTGCAGACCTGAATTCCAGCCCCAATTCTGCATCGCTTAACTGACCCTGGGGCAGTCGGCTTGCTCTAAGCCTCGGTTTCCTGGTGGGTGAAGCCGCCCTGCTGGGTTAAGGACCAGCCTTCGGAAGCTGGGTGGCGCCTCCTGGACCTGGGACATCGCTGGGGTTGGGATTTCTGATGACCTGGATTTTCCTTCTTCCAGGCACTTGGGGTCCTGAGACGGAGATTCACAAGAACTGCTTTGGCTCTTGTTGCCAAAGCTAAATTGCGCCGCCGCCCCCCTCCCCCCATCAACACGGTTTTTTTCTCTGGCACTCAGCTTGCAGATCCAGGCTAGCTGGGTTCGCATCCCCATTCACGGCTGCCTCTGGAATAGTTAGGGGCTTGTCAGAGCAGGGACAGAGCCCCCAGACCTGACTCAGGTGACTCTGGCTCCTGGTTGCGACTCCTTGGCATTCCTGCCTCCTCCTCCCATCTGCCTGCTGTGGCCACGTCTGCCGTTCTCTAGATACCTCGCTCCTGTTTCTAGGCACCAGACTGCCTTATCTCCCCATCGCCTTCCATCCCTGGAAAGCAACAGTGAAAGGGAATCCAGCCCCAGGTGAGTGGATACCCGCCCCATTTTCACCCTCGGTCCCCTTTAACCCTACCCTGCCCCATCCTGACCTAATGCCACCTGGGGTCCCCAGAAACAAAGACCTTCCGTTAGCGCAGGGCTCATCAGCGTGAAATTCAACCAAAAGGAAGTCATCTCTGGGAACTCAACCCTGCTGACTTCCTGCCCTGCCCAGGTTTCTGCCTCTGACTTAGCATGGTGTCACTGTGGTTCTTTCAGATCCCTCTCGGCTTGTGGTCCTTTGCTTCCAGTCCGTGGGTTTCCCACTTGCTAGATGTTTTCCAGCCGAGTGATGGCTATGGCCGGATGTTGATGTGACTGCTGAGGTCACCATAACCCGTTGCCCAAATTCATGTCTTGACTCAGAATTGAACAAGGCTGCCCCCCACACCAGGATCTGCCCAGCCCTTGGGCCATCTCTGCTGCTCTCCCTCATTCCCTCAAAGGCATGAATGGGAAGATTTTGCCCACAAGTGTCCACCTCCCATCCCTGCCACCCCTCCTCTTCCCAACTGTCCTTTGGTCAGGACCTGTTCTGTGCCTGGAGCAGCCTCACTAGGTTGTGTTAATCCTAACCATCGTTGACTTCTAAAGCACCTACTATGTCCCGGGTCCCACACACAGATAGCGCCACTCACGAGCACTCTCGAGCACGTGACAGAGTAACTGTTATTGTTCCCATGGTACAGAAGAGGAAGCCACAGATGAAAGAAGTTAAATGAGTCTCCCAAGATTGCAGGAGGGAACTGTCGGTCTCCGAAGCCCAGGTTCTGCCTGCTATTCTGTCCTGTTTCACTACTGCAGAGGTGATGGCCCTGGGAGTCCAAGCGCCCCTAGATCCTCAGGTGAAGGGACAGCATTCCTAGAGTCACCTCTGATCAGAGCCACCCACCATCCTGCACCTAACAGGACCCTCTGGTGGCATCGTGCACTGCCGGGACTGGTCACACACCACTCGGCTGTGGCTTCTAAGCCTCAGCTGTGCTTAGCGTTGGCACCATGGGAACATCAGAGCTGGTCTGCCAGGAAAAACAGTCTAAGCCCAGGCCCTCATTTTCCTGGTGGGGACTGAATCCCAGGACAGGCACAGAGCAAGTCAGCAGCAGAGCAACGACCAGAAGCCCCATCTCCTAATTCCCGGCTTCTTGGTTGCTAGCCCTTCTCCTCCACCTCCAGGAGGCACTTAGACAGACTCAAGCTGGTGGCCCTGGACAAACACGTTCCTCTGTCCCCTCTTCTCCCCGCCTCATTCTCCTGCTTCCTGGAGAAAAAGGCAGAGTCCAGAGCCGGGGTCATAGTGTTTTCTTTCATTCATCCTGTCTTCATTCAGCAAACACAGAGGGTCTGTCTAGGGCCAAGCCCTGTGCTGGGCACTAATTCTGTTATAACCCCCCTATCATGAGTGTCTGCCGTTGCCTTTCAGTCTAGAAGATGAACCCATCTGTGGATTGTACATATGTGTGCATGTGGCTGTCTACAAACGTGTGTGCATGTCACACGTGTGTGTGTGTGTGCACGCGTGCACCTGTGGACTGTGGCACCTGTCATCTCTCTTCCATCATACAGGGAGCCCCCTTGCTACCTCTGTGGGTGTCCTGCCATCCAGGACACCCTCTACATCTGCTAATATTCGCCCAGCCTTTGTCTCAGAAAGAAGTCCCAGGCTCAAGTCCCTCCCCCGCCCTCTCCCAGATCTCAGCCCAGCTCAGTCCAAAGACCTCCAGGAGCTCTGTTTGGTCCTCCCCAAAGACCCCACCAAGATGTCCCTCTTATCCCTCCCTCCCTAGTTAAGAGAGATCCAAGCCGTCCAGATCTCTGTGCCCCCGCACCCCGAGAATAGGGTCCTAATGCTGTGTGGAGGTCCCCTGTCCTGGACAGGGAACAGTCTCTCTTACCCGTCCATGGAGCCCAGAGCTGGCAGCAGCAGTGAGGGGCAAGTGGGGGTGATGGAGAACCAGGCTTTATAAAGGAGGCGACAGTCAGAGCCAGAGGGGGAGGCGAGAGCCGGGAGCAGGGATGCTGCCAAGTCCTCACGGCCTCGGAAGCTTTTAGGATAATCCAGGAAACAGTGGCCCCCGGCTCTCCTGGGGGAGTGGTAGGGGGTGAGAGCGGAGCCTCTGAGGTCTGCCAGGAAAAGAGGATTTCAACTGCAGGAGGCATCTGGGGTGGGGGTGGGGTGGCGGGCAGGACCCGACTCCTCCCGAGGCGGGTGGGCAGCAGCAGGACTAAGTGGCTCTGGGAGACTGGACAGAAGAAATGAGAGCCTTGCTAGGGAAGAGAGCCAGGGTGGGAGAACTCGCCACCCTCCATCCTCCTTCCTCACCATGGCTTCACCATGGACTTGGTGGGAGAGAAAAGAAGGTCCACTTTTAAGAACCCACACGCACGCATACACGTGCACACACACAGCAGGGTCAAGTCAGTCCTCCCCTGCAGAACCCTGCCCCCCCCCCCAGAGCTGAGGATGGCTCAGCATCTCCTGCTCCACTTCCTCCCTTTCTCACACACCCACTTCCAACTTGGATCCCCCAGGAGGATCCAGTGTAATCTGCCACATGAGGAGGGAGGTCCCTCTCCCTGACTTTGGCTGGGGTGCAGAGCTTGAAATGGACAAGAGTTCATCTAAAAGCGGAGGCAGAGCCCAGCCAAGAACTTGGAGCTACTTCAGGGTGCCTGGGACTACAGGAACTTAAAGAGGCCAGAAAGATGGCCTGGGAAAGGGAGAAGGGCCCTGGAGGTGGATTTAGGTGGTCCTGCCACATCCCCCACTGT